TTTCAAGTTGCCTTTTATGTTGCCACTCTGGCTGCAGTGTGTGTATAGTCTGGTACTATGCATAGGGGGAGCACATGTACCGAGCTCTGCAGGGCTGTTGGTCAAAGTAGCGAACCGCTTCATGACCAACCATCCGTAATAGAACAGGTAAAGGACTTTAATATTCAAAATATAAGCTATGTTTAAAGGGATGAAAAAGAGTTATAACAAAGGCCATGGAAATGTTTATGACTGGGTGAGGGCAGGGAAGGAGTTTCTCAGAGAGCCTTTTGTGAAGTTAAGCTACACGTTTTTAATAAATTTTCATAAAGTGGGGAGTGATATAAGTAATGCTGTCACACATTTAACCTTAGCGACTTTGTTTCTAAGCTCAAAGATTATCACTTTTTTTATTTCCATCTGAGCTCATATTGTGTGTAAACAGTTTATTTAAATGTTTTTACTATGTATGACAGTCTGCTCCGCTGTCATTTACATGTTGTTTTTCTAAAAACAGTGAACCTGGCTGCTTTACCTTGTGATTCAGACATTTTACTTCTTATTTTCTCCAAAACAGCTGTGTTTTACTTTGCTGACTTCCTGTCAGACACCAGGCATTGCTACAGAATTGCTACTAAACAAATTAGACCTGAGCTCTATGGCCTGCAGTGTGAATGTAGCCTAAGTTAGTTGGAGCTATGCAGGCACAGTGGCAGGAAATGGTGTGCAGTCATTTAGAATGAGCTCCTAAGTTGCCACAACAACATACATTTTCCCCCCTCAGATCAGATCTTTTAATTGCTCCTTGTGTCTTCAGTATTGCTTGTATCATTTGTGAAAGATGAACACACTTTCTTTTAAATTTAGGATTCTCAATAGCAGTTTATACCTATTTAGCCAGATGATGGCAGCTAACTAGAGCTTCACAACGACTTTGAAATCATTGCATTTCTAAAAGATTCTGCTCCTTCATTCTGTAAATAAAGTAGCAAGAGCCTTCAAGTAGCCCCCTTTAAGTAAACTTCCTCATTGATTATTTGTGCTTTTTAAATTGCAGCTGATCCTGGAACTCTGCCGTTCTGATGAGACGGCTGACCCTCAAGCTATTCAACCCCACCTGGACCGAATGCAGAACCTCAAGTCTCTGTGGAAGACGGAGGTAAGCTTTCTGATCAAAAGCTTGACGATGGATGTTTTCTACCAGTTTGCAAAAACTATAGATCTACACTCAAAAGATGTGGGAAGCAATTGAGATAACGTTCTTGTGTTTCTGCTTCCAGTCTGATGCAGAAGTGTCTGATTCTCATTTTGTCAGCCTTGTTCAAAATCTGCTCAGAGATCCAGAGGAAAGGAGGAACTTTTTCCAGGTAAATTAATATAAGCAACCCTTTCCCTATGTTATGGTCTTCATCCAGAAAACTTGAAAAATTAATGTAATTGTTGGGATTTCAGGATGTTTTCCCCGGAGACTTTGGTCCCACATATGACAAAGCGATTCAGACTCTGATGTGGCTGTTTCTGGCCAGACTTGAAAAGCTCCTTCCTGCTCAAACTCTTCAGCAGGTATGGACATAATCTCAAAGAGGAAATCTGGCGACGCATGTAAAATGTAGTTTTAAGAACATTGAATGATTTATTTCTGTCTTGATTCAGGTTGTGGCAATGATGAGTGACACCACTTCTATTCTGAACGAATCCATGGAGACGTTAGTTCAACCTGAAGATCTACGAGCTTTGCTGGACACACAGAAAAACCTCATCCAGCTTGAAGATATTGGTAAGTATACCTTTGACTCCCAGCATTTCTGTCAGTACCACATTCCACTTGAAATAATCTATTGTGTTTTTATTTTGTAGAGTCTTACGTTGTTGACAGCGGTATCTTATCAGCTCTGTGTCTACCTCGTGTGGAAAGAGTTGTGATAGTCAGTGAGCAGACAGAAACCGAACCAGGGAGCAGTCTTGTGTACACGGTTTGCTCAGAGATGGAGGTGGAATCTGATAACAAAGAAATGTACGTAGAGGTACCTGGAGGCACACTCGAGTGCGCCCAGCCGCAGTGGTTTGGCATCAGTGCCGAGGTAAAGGCTGAAAGCGACAGTGTCCTTGTCTCTGATCTAAATGAGGCCAGCGAAGGGGAAATGGTGGAAGACCATCACGATGTGCAGAGCGGGACTTTGATCATCGGGGAGGACGGCCAAGTGACGGTGCTAGACGGTGCGGAGAAGAAGCCGCAGAGAAGAGGGAGGAGAAGGAAATGCCCGGAAGACGACGATCAGGATTACGAGATGGAAAGTAAAGGAAGGGGCTTTAAGGGAGACATGGACACAGACCCTTCATGGGAGAGACCGGTGAGAAAGAACCGAGGGCTTAAGATGAAAAGGTACCTGTCGCAGTGGAGGAAATCCGGCAAGACGTTGGGCGGTAGTGCCGCCAACAACGTTTCGGTTCCGCAGAGTTCAGCCAAGGGCAGCGACTTGGATGACAGAACGTGCAAGGTGTGTGGCAAAGTGGTGACCCAGGCCAAGTTCCTACAGAGACACATGAATCAGCACACAGAGGAGCTGCCCATCGCCTGCCCAGTGTGCAAAAAGTTTTATAAAAGTTTACGCTTCTTGCAGCAACACAAGTGTATGGGTTCAGCTGAAATAAACCCTGACAAGGATTCTCAGGAAGAACAAACCGCCGCAGAGATCGGTGAACAGTCAACCAGCGGGGTTATTTGTGAAGGATTCGACGATGATCAGCCTCTAGACAGCGACACCCAGGATCCCGACTACATTGCTCCTGTGAAGTTGTCCGAGGAGCTAGGAGAGAGAAGTCCAGACGGAAGTAAGAGTGGCCTGGAAGGTCCGTTCTATTGTCCCCACTGCAGGGTGGAGTTCAAATGCAGACAAACATTCAGGTTCCATATGAGGAACATTTGCTACACCGAGCAGCAGGTGGATCCAGAGAATCCCCCAGATGATTTGAAACACTGTTTCAGGTGCGACGAATGCGACAAGGCCTTTAAGTACAAGTCAACCTTAGATTCTCACAAGCAGACACACAACCCGCTGTACTGCGAGGTGTGCATGAAGCTAGTCCGTGACTCAGAAGCCCTGGCCATGCACAAGGAATCCCACACACCGTTCCAGTGTAACCGGTGTGAGCAGAACTTCCCCGTGTTCAAGGCCCTTCACAAGCATTACATCGACGAGCACAACCCTACCGAGCCTTTCACCTGCCAGCACTGTCAGACGACCTTCTCCAGTTTGAAGCGCTTTATCCGACACGAGTGGAAACACACCGGTTACCAGCCTTTCCAGTGCATTCACTGCTCTAAGAGGTTCCGCTCGTACTCCGACCTCGTGGAACACCAGAAAAAACACACAAAGGCGTACCCGTACCTTTGCTGGGAGTGCGGCAAGAAGTTCCGGCATGGCGTCACTCTGACCAGGCATGTTGAGCGCGTGCATCACACTGGAGAACCGGTGGATGAAAAACCTGTCACCATCTTCCCCTGCACTCAGTGTTCGAAGACCTTTACCTCTAGAAGGTGCCTCCTGAAACACGATAACTTCCACCACAAGGGGATGCGTTTCCCGTGCGAGCATTGTGGGAAGGGATTCTTTGGGAAGGACGCCCTTGTGAGGCACACTTTGATTCACACTGGAGAAAGGCCGTTTAAGTGCGACGACTGTGAGAAGTCTTTTAGATCGGCAGCAGAACTGAAGATTCACAGAAGGTACCATACTGGGGAAAGACCATTCAAGTGCACCATCTGTGAGAAAGGATTTGTCCAGTCATGTTTTCTTACTCTACACATGCGAACGCATACTGGAGAGAGACCGTATGTGTGCGCAGTTTGCAATAAGGGCTTTTCAAGTTTGCACGGCCTTAAACGACACAGGAGACTTGTTCATTCCTAGTTTCTATTAACGCAATGCTAATTCTAACAAAATGTTGAACGATTTGTCTAACTTGTCCCTTATGAAGGAGGTTAGTTTAGCTTCAGCTATGTGCCAGAAATATAAAAACAAGATGCTTGTGTTGTTAAAGCTCTCTAGCAGTATGGCTGCTGCCTTGAGACATGAAAACTTAAACACCTTCAGTAATGTTCATAATAAATGTGGTTGCCACAGATTTGCGTCAGCAGAAATGTAAAAATGTACTGAGCTATAAAAAAAATGTATCCTTGTATTTTTTACAGACATGTTTTCTGTAGTTCCACATATACTTATGTATGTGATTTACAATGTTATTTCTTTAGAAGTTAAGATTTTCTCCTTGAATAAATGTCATTGGTCTCAAATATGATTGGGTTTTTTTTTTTTTTTTATTATTTAAGATATAAAAATGAATGGAGCATAGATTCATCAGCAGTGTGGTACTTGAATGTCTGTTACAGAATATCAGAAATGGTTTTGTAGACCCCCATTGTGACAATATGGGCTAAAAAAAAATTTGGGAGAGAGGCGGCCTTATGGGGAACTTTGAGGTTGGAGTTTCCAAGTTTTAGCCCCACTGCCACTCTGGGTCTCTAAGCAAGACCCTGCGCCCCACAATGGGAGCCCAATGCTCCCCAAGTGAATGGGTTAAATGCAGTCATATTTCTCCAATGTGATCAATACAGTTAATTTTTTTTATTATATATTGTAAATAAATCTTAACTATATAAATACACCAAAAAAAAAAAAAAAAGGAATTTCACCCCAGATGGGACTCGAACCCACAATCCCTGGCTTAGGAGGCCAGTGCCTTATCCATTAGGCCACTGGGGCTATGTGACACCATCACTGAAACAGAGCACGGATATAATATAACGGCCTCAGCCGTCATGGATAGTATTTTGGTGAATTTCTTGTTCGCCTGTGCACTTGTCCGTGTGGTACAGGGGTTTAACACTACACGCCCAGTCTTGCATTGCTTGTTTTTCCCAACTGTGTTCAGATATGATCAAAATTGATTAACTTTACACTTGGAGAAATTAACGAAAGTGTGTCTTGGTTGTCTCAACTGTGATTAATAACGATGACGTAGTTTTACTTCTTAGACAAATGCGTTTACGGCATCAGCCAGATACAAGCGAACTCCCTCCGATGCTCCTGACAGCCCGGGGTTGTTGTTGGCTCCCCCCGCCCTCCTCCTCTCCAGCAGAAATCCGACTCAGGAGGAGAATGGTAGCCAGCTAGCTAACGGTCAAAAACAGTTGGGTTTGCTCGTTTAACGCCGCTGGATATTTTGTCTCAACCATGAATTTACTACCATCAAATCCACACGGGAATGGGCTTCTTTATGCTGGATTTAACCAGGATCATGGTAAGAAACAGACTCCTAATGCTCTTTATTATATTTTCCACCCTCTGTCATATATACAGTTGAGGAACATCATACAACAAGAGCTCGTTTCCTGGCTAATTTGTAAACGTGGCACCAGGTCATCGTAACCAAAATCCAGCATTAAGTTTTCACTTAAAACTAGTATGTGCTAAAAGCTTCATGTTACCTTTGAACTGTCAGGTAAATTAATGTTAGCATTAGCTTCCCCACTGGAATTTAGCCAACCAAAAAAATATAGCTCCCACCTTTGTTTATAGCTAAACACCGTTCTCGTTAAAATAAAAGAATATAGTTTCCAAATCCCTTTAGCTGTCAAATATATTTAAACATTATTTAGGAAATTTGGTTATTAATATCCTGGATGCTAACTTAGCATAGATGCTACAGCTAGCTGGAATTCCTTTTAACATAGCGGCTAACGGCTATGTCAACGTTAGCACTGGGATTTTCTTAATTTCCACACAGTAATTTGTTTCTTTTATATGTTATTGGTTGTTTTTAGAAAAGAAATATGTTAAAGACGTGTTTTCTCCGACACCCACGTATTCATTTCCACCACCCACCTCCAGAGGCACAGAACAGGCCGTAATGTTTAATTTAATGTATTCTTTTGAACCGTTTGTTAAAGTGTGACACTTTGATATACCTAAAATTAAAAGAATAAAAATAATAACTCCACCCAGACCAGTGATCTTTTTTAACTAACTTAAAAAACAGTTAGTTTTCTATGCATTCCTAATGAAGTTTGATGGTTTTGTTCCCATTAATAAACAGGATCTGATATATATGGGGTTCCTCCTTTAGCTGCTTTATTTCTTCCTGTTAACCTGATTAAGTGGGAAAGACTCTAAAATGTTCCTTTTTTGGGGGGATCTTTCTGTTTATGTCCAGGATGCTTTGCTTGTGGAATGGAGAATGGATTCCGTGTCTACAACACAGATCCTCTCAAAGAGAAGGAGAAACAAGGTAACCAGACAGTTAACAGATCAACATTTTATTTATGCATCCTGCTCAATCGTGCAAAATGCTTGTTTGGCGTTTCAGATTGTACGCAGCGTTGACATTTATTACATTTTTACTGGAATATAACCTCTTAAATTTGAGGAAGCCTCCTTGCAAACACGTGACCCTGGATGTTAAGTTCTCTAAAAAGTTGCCTTTCAAGGCCTTTTTTTTATTTTATTTTTTAAGCCTTCACGTCACATTGCAACTTTTCTGTCGTAACAACTACTGTAGCTCTCATTCCTGCGCACAGATCTGTTTTTGAGATTATGGAAAATAGCCCTTTGTGTTTCAGAGTTCCTAGAGGGAGGAGTCGGCCATGTGGAGATGCTGTTCAGGTGTAACTACCTGGCACTAGTGGGAGGAGGGAAGAAACCAAAGTATCCGACCAACAAAGGTGTGTTTTCAATTCTTTGACAGATTGAGGGGGGATTTTAGGAGATAGATATTTAAAGATGATTTAGGGAATTGTTCATCTCCACTGTGTGATTTCATTAGATCTAATTGTAATCGTAATTAACATTTCTACGCGTTGTGATGTCCTAGTGATGATCTGGGACGACCTGAAGAAGAAGACGGTGATTGAGATCGAGTTCTCCACAGAAGTGAAAGCAGTGAAGCTTCGGCGTGACAGGTACGGTGGCCCAAAGGGAGCCATGTTTGTGTTTACTGTGGGAAATCAGGAAGATTTGACTGATCCTAGCTATGCTGCTCATGAGCGGGTTGTGTTTTTTTGTTTTTTTCTTTCAGGATCGTAGTGGTCCTAGACTCCATGATCAAAGTGTTCACCTTTACACACAACCCTCATCAGCTGCACGTGTTTGAGACCTGCTATAACCCCAAAGGTCGGTTCCAACTCCCATAAACTTACAGACTCCAGATCATCTGACTTGTTAATCATCAGAACAGTTCTGGTGGTTTAAGCCAATCCAGAAAAGATTTTTTTTTTTTCTTTTTTTACATTAACCCCTTCTGCCTGCTCCAGGTCTATGTGTGCTGTGTCCAAACAGCAACAACTCTCTGCTGGCGTTCCCGGGAACGCATTCGGGCCACGTGCAGATAGTGGACCTGGCCAACACTGAAAAGCCACCTGTCGACATCCCCGCTCATGAGGGGGCGCTGTGCTGCATTGCACTCAACCTGCAGGGAACCAGAATAGCCACAGCATCAGAAAAAGTATGGAGGAGCTTGCTGGCTGTAGCATCACCCCACCCTGAACTCTGACTTACTCCTGTCACATTTCCACAGGGGACGCTGATCAGAATCTTTGACACGTCTGCAGGGCAACTGATCCAGGAGCTGAGGAGAGGATCCCAGACGGCCAACATTTACTGGTGAGGATAAAAAGGCTCCTCTGCTCAAAGGGATGATCAAATGTTGAATTATGCTCATAGTCCTCTCTGGTTAGTGGAGTTTGTGCATTTTATTTTGAATATATATTAAACAGGAAAACGATGAGATCAAGTTTAAAAACTGATATAATCATGAGTTATAATGAATGAATTAGCCTAAGCTGCTTCCTAATCTCTAAAATCTGAAATATCCCAGCATTTCTCTATCTGAGATGCATCATCAAAGTTTAGAGCTGACTTTTATTTATTTATTTTTTTTTCTGTTCAGTATCAACTTTAACCAGGATGCATCCCTGATCTGCGTATCCAGCGATCACGGCACGGTTCACATCTTTGCCGCCGAAGACCCCAAAAGGAACAAACAGTCGAGGTGGGTCTGTCTGACAGGCAGGGGAAGAAATTCATTTTTTTTTTTTTTTTTTTTACAAATGTACATATATTTTATGAGGGCTTTGCATGCATGACCAACACAGAGTAGTGTCAAACTGTTAAATACACTCAGCATGATGCAGCCACCACTGTGCATTCTGCTGAATTATTAGAAATAGTGTCCAACTAGAGGAAAAATTTGATCATTTAGATTTTCCTTGAAAGAAAAAGTAAAGAAAAACTGATCTAGGTTTGTTTATGTAATGTGACAAAAAAAAACAATATCTCAGAGGATATTGCTGAATCTTTTTTTCAGTGCACCTTTAACCCATTAAACTCCTTGTAATCTTGTCTCTACAGCTTGGCCTCCGCCAGCTTCCTCCCCAAATACTTCAGCTCCAAGTGGAGCTTCTCCAAGTTCCAGGTGCCATCGGGCTCTCCCTGTCTGTGTGCCTTCGGAACCGAGCCCAACGCCGTCATAGGTAAGCTCACAGAGGGACGGGAAGGCGACTCATCTCGTCAGCATTTCCTTCCTTTCTGTCAGCCTCCCAGATATCTGATTGTTCTTGTCCTGCTTTTGTTTCCAAGTCTCCATTAGCTGCTGACTTCTCTCTCTCTCTCTCCTTCTTCCTTTATCAGCCATCTGTGCTGACGGCAGCTACTACAAGTTCCTTTTTAACCAGAAGGGGGAGTGCTCCAGAGACGTGTACGCCCAGTTCCTGGAGATGACCGATGAGAAAATATGACCCTCGTGACTTCCTGTTGAGCAACACGTTCTTGTTCTCTATTTCAACTTTTTTTTGGCTTTTCAATTTTTTCTCTGAGGAAATTAGGAGAAGTCCTACTTTGCACTTCACCTCATCTATAGAGACTCTGAGAAACGCAGAGCGTCAGATGAAGAGGACAAAGAAACAAAGCACAGACTTTTTTTGGGGGGGAGACCTGCCAGCTTTACTCCCAAAGCAAACCCATGGAGATGAGGGAAAGTTTTTTTTTTTCCTGGATTTAAAATAGCTTTTACGATGTCTTCCGAGGAGTTTCCAAAGGATGGCTGTTTTTTTTTTTTTTTATTATTCCCACCCTGATAGCTAGACGACTTGGATCACTAACACCACCTAACTGAACTATAGGGAGAGTGCCTCTAAAACTGAAGACAATACGTATGTGTGCTCATATTATTGTTGGTAGATATACACACATGCATCAAGTGTATAAAAAGAGGTGTGTGCAAGGCAGGAGGGAACGGATCAGAGCGGATAGCGATCCTGCTTTAACTATCACTTCAGTGTTTATAAGTTTTCTTTGTTGCTGTATATAAACACTCATTTGCTAACAACACAGAACAGTAACTAAAAAAATAACCTGTATTTGTTTTTTGTTTTTTTTTTTTATATCGGTTGTGCAATACATGGTTAATTATTATTTTTTTTGTCTAAAAATTAGTCAGTAGAGCTGGAAAAGTTCAATATATTTTGAGAGAGAAGATTCTGTAAAGTTAAATGAGATAAAAGTGGAGCCAAACAAAAACACTATGAGTTGGCCCTTTAGTTTAGTTCAATTATATTCAGATTTCCTTAAAGGTTTCCTCAAAGGCGCAGAAAACTAATCTAATTAGAATAACAGACTTTTTTGTTTGTGTTACTGATTGCGTCCATTGAAACGAGTTGACAGATGAACGTTTTTGTTATTTTTCTCTCCTTATATTGTCGCATCCTTCAGTTGATTTTCCGTTTTTGTTGCCTCCTGCATCAAACGCTGCTTTTGCAGGCATCGCGCTGAGAAGATGCAGACTGCAGGAGGGAGAACTCAGTCGGCTGGTTTCAGATATTTTCACAATGATTGTAAAATGTGGATTTAAATCTGTGAATAAAATGTAACATCTGCTTTTCCAGATAGGTTGGATGTTCTCTGATGCTCATTTTTGGGGGAAAATACAAGATGATCTCCCATGGCATAGCTAAAACCTTCCTATGAAGTGAATTTATTAAAGCAGAAAAGAGAAAATTTGACTGGAAACCAAAATGTTATTTTGAGCACAAGTTAAAATCCATAAGCAGAACTGCTGTTCAAATTGCAAATATTTATCATTTCTGAATTGTATTATAATTAGTTTATGAACAGATGGCCCAGCAGGGGGTGCCCAAGAGCTTGACATTCCACATTTACTTCTATTGGACTTTTAAATTTAATTTTAAAAAGTTATTTATTTCAATTTCTGTTTTTATGAAGTGCATAGAAATGTCAAGTTTCAATCAGAGGGAAATCCCCAGTTGGATTAAAACAGGCGAGTCAGATGAATAAACCTAAATTGAACCATTGGGTTACTACTGTAATCCCAGCTGCTGTGAGTAAAAGCACCACCCATTAAGGAAAAGACATGGCTGCATTAGAAGAAAACCTGATGGAGGCAGTTTATGTAGAGATTGGGAGAGAAGTTCAGCTTTCAGGAGAACTGCTTGAAATTAAAGTAGATTCCCAGGATCAGTTAGCCTAGTCAAAGTATTAGAATAGAATTTATCTTTATTATCATTGCACCGTCACAAGTACAATGAAATTACTTCTGCATTTGGCAGAGTGGGGCTAAGAAGGAGCCAGAGTGGCAGTCCGTGGGAGTGTAGCTCGAACTCAGAACTTCAAACCCTCTATGAAACTCAGTGGTTTAAAGTAACAAAGTAAATATACCGGTACTTGTTTACTCTATTGATCCCTTTATAGGTCATTCAGTGAAATACTTTGAAAACAGACATTTCAAGCCAATAGTGTTACTGGAATCTAGGACTATACCTTATTACCTTTGTAACATTAAAAAAAAATATGGATATTGCGATGGCAAAAATGAATGTCAATGTAATAAGAAAAAACAACTTGCCTGAAAATAACAAAAGTGCTTCTATAAGAAATTCATGAAAATACTCTTAAGAGTGAAAGAAAAACTTTTTTTGTGCAACATGCCCTTAGATGCATTAATGCTGATACTGGCACCTACATTTTTTAGTTGATAAACCCAAATATCATTACTAACTAGGCTTATTAACTTTTTAACTTTACTTTGAAACTTTTCAATTAGGTTTTTACCTTTTTTCTTGACTTGTTATTTTTTTCCCCCAACTTAATTTACAGTAGGTAAAATATTATTCAAGGGCTCATCTAATTGGTCAAATGCCAAAGTAAAAAGTACAGCCATGTAGCAGAATCTTTGCTGAATGACTGGATATAGATCTTGTGCTTCTAGACCTCACTGAGGGACAGGGGGGCTCCATTTGTACAGGGAATGCTAGTGATCAAAAACTGTGACTTGCCCTAGTACTTTTTTTGAGTATCTTTACTTGAGTCATATTTTTGGAGGGCTTTTAGAAGTTTCCCTTCACTACATTTCAGAGTTAAATATTTTTTTCTTTCTACTCCAATACATTTCTATGAACCTCCTAGTTACTGGTTACCTTTGGCTCAGCTTAGCTTTGTAATCCACTCTCGCTGTTTTTCTAGAAATGCAATTTCAACATGGCAGATAACAGCCGCTAGAACTGAATTAGGACAACACTGATTTAGAAATTTGCATGATGTTCAACAAATGTGAGAAACTCAGGGCAGTTATAATTTGTAGTTTGTAATTTTATGAAAGCGTTAGTTTGAATGTGAAGTTGTTCAGTAGGAGTTCTCCATTTCTTTGTGATTATAGTTTCAACCTTAAACTTCTATTTCATAGAGAAAATATGAGAAACAAGACACACTTGTTTTCATTTTTTAGTAGAAGTAATAAAAATAACTTTCCTCATTTTTTGTGGCATTATTTATGCTGAAGTTCATTACAGATGGTATATAATTTGTAGCGGAGTGGTTCTAATCAAGGTTCTTTAAAATTACACTGAAAATTAGAAATATAATTAGGTCTTGTCCTGGATTCCAGTAACACTATTGGCTTGAAATGTTGATGTTCAAAGTATTTCACTGAGTGACCTATAAAGGTATAAATAGATGGTTGATCAAGTAACTTTTAATTGCAATTGAGTAAGATTTTTAGGTGTTCGAGATCTGCCTGTTTTTCAGTGTAGTCCTGTTTCTCTGTGACTAGCTGGATGTGCTCTCTTCATCCTCTGACATGGGAGCTGGCTCAGAGCTCGTCTGCCTGGCTGTGTGTTTCCTGGACTGGGCCACCTTTCACAGTTGCTTTTTGTATCTCTGCTTCTCTCTCCTTGAACCCCAGTCGGCCTCAGCAGATGGACGCTCACGCTGATCCCGGTTCTGCTGGAGGTTTCTTCCTGTTAAAAAGGATATGTTCCTCTCCACTATTGCTACAAGCATGCTAAGTGTGAGGGATTGCCTTCGAGTCAATGAGTCGATGTAATCAACTGGTTTTCCTTAGATAGAAAACTTTGAATCAATCTGACTGTAAGATCTGGTTAACTGTAAAGTGCCTTGAGATGACATGTGTTGTGAATTGGCACCAGGGGTGGACTGGGACAAAAAAAATCGGCCTTGGCATTTTGGACTAGACTGGCCCACCACATTTTTTTACTTTTTGGTGTACTGAATGTGTATACCAACTGTGCAATACCTTGGGGCCAGGTTCATGGAAATTAGTGAGAGTGGACACTTAAAATACTTCCAAAATCTTAATTTATTGACACTGTAAAATGTAAACTCCACCACAGCACAGCAACAATTCTTAGATCAGGGAGAGAGAGAGCGGGAGAGAGAGCGAGTGAAGGAGAGAGAGAAGTCACAGTCAACCACACAAATTACGTTACTCTTCTCATGCTCATCTGTCCGCTGGTGCACATGCCTACAATCAGACATCCCAGTAATAAATGAGCTTGTGTCAGTGGTCTTTCCAAATGCAATACATACAAAACAAAATAAAGCATGACTTTTCTCACAATATGTGAGCCACCTCCTGTTGGTTGCATTTATAGTGGTAAATAGCTTTTGCACAACTGGATTTTTTGTGCTTTGTTGTGGGTGGTGATTCAAAAAGTTTTGTAAAAGTCAAGGATCAGGACATGCAAAGTAATCCATTTCCTCCTGCTCTCTGCTCTCATGCCATGTCTCTCCTCAGCTGCACTGACATGTTCACCGCTCGGTTCGCCGTCACCTCCACTACAACCGCAGACATCCCAAGTTCCAAAAACTCATTTCAGGGAGATGCTTAATGAAGATAAATTGTGCCTTCATCAGTAGTGGATTAGAGCTATACAGTGAAGTTCACAAGAGGGCCAATTCAATTCAGTTTGGTTTAGGTAGATATTTCATAATGCAGAAAATAACAATCTTATAGTACAATTTATTTATGATGCTTTATAATAAATATGTGCCATAAAATATTTGCTCACATGCTTGCATTAATTATCTGCGTCCATGTTTTTATAAAATAAATTGCCCACAATTTTTTTTTTGCTCAGGTGCTCTGTCTATCTCGCTCGCTCGGGTGCGCTCTCTCCCCCTCTCGCTCACTCAGGTTCTCTCTCTCTCTCTCTGTGTTAATAAATTAAGATTTTCTAAGTATTTTAAGTGTCCACTCTCACTAATTTCCATGAACTTGGCCTCAAGGTATTGCACAGTTGGTATACACATTCAGTACACCAAAAAAAAAAAAAAGGTGGTGGGCCAGTCTAGTCCAAAATGCCAGGGCCGAGTTTTTTGTCCCAGTCCACCCCTGGTGAGACAGTTAAATTTTGTTGAAGAAATAAAGTTCCTGAACTTACAATTTACAGCTTTCAAAAAGACATGTAAGAAGTGAATAACTTGTCCTTTCTCTTCTAGAAGCATCTGACATATTAAACATTTACTGATGTTTTAATCACATTTCACATCAAATAAAATGTATATGTTTTTACTATGAATGTTCAGACTCTTCCTGTGACTTTATGGAAAAGTAAATGGAAAGTACGGTAGGTTAAGCTACTTTCAGGGGTTCTTCATTCTATTGCAGGAGATATGTTAACACAGAAGAAATAGGACTGATTGGATGAGGATAACTGTGATTATCTCTGTGATCCAGCAAAGCTGAGCCGGATGCAGCAGTCTCCGTGCGTTTCCAATCTGGAGCTAGCGATGAACAGAGTCTGTTGAGAGTATTGTTGTGGCTTAGAATTGGTCAATGGAAATCAACCTTGTCATTTTAGAAATATCCACCTTTCCTGCTTGATGCCAAAGCTGATGTTGAAACAATTTAGGCTCAAGAGTCGGACCTCAGGCTGCTGCAGTTACAGTGAGGAAAATAAGTATTTGAAAACTTAGAAATCATGGAGGGGTCTGAAATTGTCATCTTAGGAGCAGGTTCACTGTGAGAGGCATAATAACAATGTATGATTATTTGTATGATAGATGTCAAATACTGTAGAAAAGCTTCATCCTCAGAACCCATAATTTCCTCACTGAGCTGTTTGCAGCAACAGATCAAATGAGCAGAGATGCCTTAACATCTACAAAAAAAATCTAAAATAAACATCCAAAAACTAGATCACAATGACGCAAACATGCAGCCTGAAAACTTTAGAATTGAGCTTTATTACAGATTTCTGGGTTACAGGCTGAAAATAAATTGTAGAAAAAAAAAGAAACTTTACAATTTGATCAAATTCAGATCAAACTTCTAGCCTGGGTGCCAGTCCGAACTTAGTCCCGCCCACAAGGTTTGAGTTCGGGGAAGTTCGGTCTGGCTCTGCTCCATAGTAGCGCGAGTATTAAAGCCCACTGTCAGGCGATCCAATCAAATTGTCAGGGCAGGCTTTATACGATGATGGACAGATGATCAACAGTAACGTAATCAACCACGTGACCAAAGCGCGCTTGGGTGACAACAATAATGGCTGCCGCTGGAGAGTTTGGGTGAGTAGATTCTGCTATTAGGTCTGTTCTAGAAGATATCGACAGCAAATAAATTTTAAAAGAGGAACAGAGAAACGCGATCAAGGCTCATCTTCTTATTCTAGGCGTGAAACTGCACGCTTTGATTTTTGTGGACAACAACTATGCCTCGCTTAACATACGTCACGCACTCCGTTGCTCTTATTGGTTGTAGGTCTATCCAATTGAGTGCAGAGGCATTTTTTTTCCTGGTTCGTTCAAAACACGCCCCATAATCACAGCTCTATGGAGCAGTATCAGACTCATATTCTGACTAGAATTGAGTCGGACTACGTCAGGCTATCAAACTTCAACAGAGGCACTGAATGGAGCTTAGCTTGAATTTCATCATCATTGATCCAACAATATCAGACACTTAATGACAGACAGGATCAAATAAAGAGATAAAAAAAAAATCTATAAACTCAGTTCATCCTCAGGATCCAGTCAGAATCTCTTTAAAATGCAGCTTCAACCTCTGTAGATCATCAGGACATAGATCAGCTTCTCTTCTCTACTAAGTTGGTAACTTCCACTCCCTGCAGAGAGAATAAGAATGAAGAGAGGAGATCAATGAGTGTTTCCAGCCTCTCTCTCTCTCCATCAGCTGTCAGTCAGTGATGCAGCACATCCAGGATAAATAGCAGCAGGAACTTTAGTCCTGTTCAGAGCAGCAGTGGAGCAGCTGGATTCACTCCAATCATCTACTTACAGAGTTGTCAGTTTGTAGTCTGGACTTTCTACAAGATCCTGCAGCTGCTGAACATCTGACTTCTTCAACCTGTTCATCCTCAGGTCCAGGTGTTCCAAATGTGAGGGGTTTGACTTCAGAGCGGAGACTAGGGAAGCACAGCTGATCCCTGACAAACCGCATTGAATCAATCTGGATTAGAAGAATAGAAAGATGTGAGCTGATCCAACAGGATGCAGGTTAGGACAATTAATACCAACATGATGCTGCTATACTAAAGACCTGCTGACTTCAGCAGAGAGAAGGAGAAATCAAAGGCATGATGGGCCCTGGAGGAGCCATCTGGTTCACCTAAATGGGCTTTCCTCAAAGCAGACAAAAACCCAAACAGGACTCCAGCAGTCATCAGCAGTATGTTTCAATAAAAGGGTTTAATAAACTCAGACTCAAATCCTCAACTCTGAATTGAGCTAACTGTCCTAAGGTTGGAATTTCTGAGTTTTCAGTTTCATAAAGGCTGCTGTGAATTAGTTCAATCAACTCCGACTAGAACAACTCAGAGTATAACACATGCATAGCAATAAAAAAAGTTTGTGTTTTGAATGGGTACATTGTAATTAAAGTAGATAAAAACAATAAAGTAAATAGTACGAATAAAACGTACGGTTTTAGAGGCCGAATCGGGTGTCATCAATGATAAAATGCATATTATCAGCCATAAGAAACCTACTAAAAGGTAGAGGAGGCACGGCTTGGAGCCATTTCATGGGATTGGTGTTTTCTGACTCTCTAATTTTATTTTATCTAAAATGCTGTCTTATTTTTATATTAATTACATCTTACTTCAATGTCTGCAGTCTACAGAGGGGAGACTCAAGAAACCCTCTGAGATCCTTCATTCCAGGGTTTAGGTTGGTCCAGCTTAGGTCCAGTTCATTCAGATGGGATGGATTCGACTCCAGAGCTGAGCCCAAAGAAGCCCAGCTGATCTCCGACAAACTGCAGTTACTCAATCTAAAAAGAAAGTAAAATATTATTGGCTAAATTTAACAGGAAGCAGGTGCGTTTCTTAGTCTCTTCTAGGAGAAATCTGTGTTGGACAAAGGGAAGCGCTGCCAAACAATCCAGAACCAGAATAACACAAGCCACATCAAAAAGGTAAGAAGAAATAGAAGCATCAGAACCGATCACTTCCCCCTTCCCCATCCATGTGGAGAGTTTTCAGAATCAGAGATCTTTGACACATGTTTGACATGTTTAAAATACAGATGCCTTGGTTGTAACACGGAATGAGTCACAATTTGAGATGGAGCTGGACAGAGATAACTCAGCAGATTTTAACACATTATGTAAACAAGGCAGATGAGTTTAAAATTATTTAAATTTGACCTGGTCTTGGCCTTTAGCCTTTATTTGTTTTGCATTTATATGTTTTATCTGTGTATGATGCTGCTTAGACACTGCCTTAAAACATACTTGATTGCTTTACATTTCTAATAAAAATACTTCCTCTAGTTCATTATTCATCTGACTGATACTAATATTCTTTTGCATGATTTAAAATTCTATAACTTTTTTTTCCGAATTACATTATTCACTTTTGACAATTTGATAGACTGAGAGAGCTTTTTGCATTTCTAGTATAGAGTATAGCGACATCGGAGCTGAAAGTGTGCATGTATATCAATTGAAAGCCTAATTAAAGCCGGGCATACAATGTGTGATTTTTTTACCCTTTTTGGCCCGACTTTGCAGTCGTGCAAGAATACTTCAATCGGACCGACTTACAGCTTGATCGTGCAACGTGCATTGTTTAGTGTAAAGGGGGTTACGAGGGGTGATCAGCCTCTCAAGATCAGGAATCGGGAGGATCGGGAGAAAAATCAAACGTTTGAATTTCAGTCAGCCGTCGTGGGCAAATTGCTCAGTGTGCAAACAAGGAATTTCTTCATCATCTGAGATGAAAACACAGAAGCATGGCAGGGGAATGAGTAAAATGTAGTCATTTCTGTAAAATTGACAGACCGTAGTAACCACGTCTGCTCAGCCTTGTCTTTGTCCAAATACATTGTCACCTTTTCTTTTTTGGGCTTTCACACACAAAATTGCATAAATTGCCAAGGCAGCGCGTTTCACTCTAGTGAGCTTCTATTCCATTCGAGTATTCTACTCGTCTGACTTCTGGATAGGAGAGTCTGAGTAGAGCCATCTAACTGCGGAGCTGAGTCCAACGTAGTTTGTAAACACTCAGTGTGAGGAGGTAGATCGCATAAGAGCACAGGGTCGTACAGTGTCAGAACATACATCGTGAGCTGTGAACTTTTAAACCCTGCGGTTTCATCATACAGTGTGAGCTGTAGCTGCGTGCAATCATAAAGGCAAATCATACAAACAGTGTATACCAGGCTTAAGGAGAATCATGAGAGTTTTGCTTGATTTTGTTCTTTTTCAGGTTTTGTGTATAGCAATTCCTGAGTGTTAAGAATTTTTCTAGGACAGGCTGGCAGCGTTTATTTTTCAGCATTTGTTTTGTTTTTATTGTCCAACTAAAATTTATGCCTCTAATTTTACTGTTGTTTGGACTGGACGGTTCTCTTTCTGATGTTCCCCGTTTCATTGCAACTGTTATGTCATGAGTTTATCGTAATGTATAGAAGTAATGAGCCAATTTGGAGAAACGAAGGAGTAGAACGTTACAGGTATTTGTGTACAAACGTAGGTAGTAAAAGTAAAAAGTTTTCTGAAAAAAAAAAAAAGTGGCTCCAACCTAATCTGTCAGCTCAGCTGACATATTGAAGAGGACAGGTTCTCTCTGTCCCAGTCCAACAGAACAGCAGCATAACGAGAAAGCTAAGATGGAGGAATCTGATGATGTTGTTCTTTAGATGTCTTATCTTCTAAAACATAACTTTTTAAGAACATGTGATTTTATTCTAGTTATTCTAACATGTTTGTGGTTCTGGTTTGTGCTTTAGAAGAACTAAATGTAATTCTGGAACATCTCCATCATTACTTAAAATCCTTTAACTGATTTTCCTAATTTTGAACAGCTTGAAATTAAAGTTCAATATTAAGAATATCTGAAATAGGAAAACAATGAATTTATAAGGTAAAAGGTCTGAGGAATCGTATTTGGACAGGAGCGGTTATTAGATAAAATATATCAGAAAAAATGAATGAATTGAAATAAATATGAATTTATCTGAACAATTTGAGTTGAAGAGAAAACTTACGTCAGTTTCTTCACTTTGCAGATTGAACTCTCCAGTATCTCACAAAAAGTCTTCATTCCAGAGTCTTCAAAGGATTCACCTCCATAGATCTTCTCTATTTCCACATCAGTCAGGAGGTCAGACTTCAGGGCTGAGGCCAAAACCTTACATTCAGCCTCAAAGAGATCACAGCCACCAAGTCTGTGATAAGATGAGAAATAAACTAATTTCTAATTAAATCAGACAATCTACATTAGAAACACAATTAAAAATATGATGAGCAAACAGTGATATCATCTGATCAACATCAGGGATCTATTTCAGAAAGCAGGTTTACTTAAACCTCTGTTCCTGTTACCATAGTAACATTGTCCCAAGAGCTAACTTGGTCGGGAGCAATTAACTCACAGCAGCCGTTTTGAGACTGAAAACTCATGTTTTCAACCTTAGGCTAAATCAATACAGAGTTGAGGATTTGAGTCTTAGTTTGTTAAACCTGCTTTTTGAAACGGACGACATATCAATATCCTGTGTTTGACACTATAGCAAAACTCTTCAGTCTTTTCAAGTTCTGGTTAAGCTGCAGACCTTCTGTGTCTCTACATTTAGCTACATTGACAAAGGCAAAAAGAGCAGGTTCAAAAGTGATGACAACTGCTGAATTCGAATTCAGGGGCTGCATCCTCCGAAGGCCAGATTTGTTAGCCTATTGCGTCATAGCGAGGCATCGTGGCCTGTTCACATTGGAAGACTCCTCATTATGTGACCAACAAATGCAGCCTTCTTTTTGCCTGTTTTGAAGGTCAGGCCTGGTGTATCCTACGAAGTCTTGGTTGTGAGTCTAAGTGAGCTGGCTGCTCCGTACTCAGAGGAAAAAGGGAAATGGTTCTGAACAATGGTGAATATTGTAAGTGGAGTTTAATATAATACAAGTATGTGGATAGTTCTGTCTGAAATTAATGAAAATAGTTTATGTAAATGGATATTGAGCCAAATATGTTGCGGGTAATGTTTCGTTTATTGAATAGTTTTATCTTCCCTGTGAAATTGACATGAACATGAACAGCAACTTCTAAACAGAACATGCACAAGGAGAATCAGGCTTGTGCATGCTCTTGCACACGTTTCATTGGTGTTCCCTCTAGGGAGCGGGTACAGGGTTGTGCATGTGCATTTTTTCTTAAATGTCCAGAAACAACTTAAACAATGAAGAACAAGGAGGACAATAAAGCTGAATCAGCATCACACAATGAAGATATCTGGACTCACCGAGCCTTTCTGCAGTTCCTGACAACTGAAACCAGTCTACGTCGTCCAGCTTCTGATGCGTTATACTTCTCCAGGTCTAACTCATCCAAATCCTCCTCTGCCATCTGCAGCATGTAGGCCAGAGCTGAGCACTGGATCTCTGTGAGCGTCTTCTCTGATCTGTTCTCTGATTTCAGGAACTGTTGGATCTCCTGATAAACTGAGAGCTCTTTCATCTCCATCAGACAGTGAAAGATGTTGATGCTTCTATCAGGGGAGACATCATCAGTGTCCATCTCCTTTAGAGTGTTGATGACTCTCTGGATGGTTCTTGGACTGTTCTCCACCTGACCCAGCAGGCCTCCCAAGAGGCTCTGGTTAGACTCTACTAAGAGGCCATGAAGGAAGCGAGCAAACAGGTCTAGGTGGCCATTTGGACTCTGGAGGGACTGCTCCATGATTTCCTCCATGAATTCCTCAAGAGATGTTTCACCATATTCGTCTCCCAGGAAGTCCTCCACCACCTCTGTGTTCCCGCTGGTCAAACAGTGGAACATGTAAACTGCAGCCAGAAACTCTTGGATGCTCAGATGAACAAAGCAGTAGACTGGTTTCTGGAAGAGCAGGCTCTCTCGTTTGAAGATCTCTGTACAAACTCCTGAATAAACCGAGGCCTCTGTGACCTCCAGACCACACTGCTCCAGGTCTTCTTGGTAGAACAGGATGTTTCCTTCCTGCAGATGTTTCAAAGCCAGCCTTCCCAGCTTTAGAAGAACTTCCCCATCATCCTCCCACAGCTCATATGGACTCGTCTCATGTCCTTCTTGGTACTTGTTCTTCTTCCTCTTGGTCTGCACCAGCAGGAAGTGTGAGTACATGTCAGTCATGGTCTTGGGCAGCTCTCCTCTCTGCTCTGTGGTCAACAGGTTCTCCAGAACCGTAGCAGTGATCCAGCAGAACACTGGGATCCCACACATGATGAAGAGGCTCCTGGAGGTCTTGATGTGGGAGATGATCTTACTGGACTTCTCCTCTTCATTGCTGAACCTCCTCCTAAAGTACTCCTCCTTCTGGGCGTCGGTGAAGCCTCGTACTTCTGTTACCCTGGAAACACAAGAAGGAGGGATCCGATTGGCCGCCGCAGGTCGGGAAGTTATCCAGACGAGAGCCAAGGGAAGAAGGTTCCCCTTGATGAGGTTCATTAGCAGAATGTTTACTGATGATTTCTGTGTGACGTCACAAACAAGCTGACTGTTGCTAAAGTCCAGAGAAAGTCTGCTTTCATCCAGGCCGTCTAAGATGAAAAGAAGTTTACAGACAGCCAGCCTCTCTACTGGGAGCTTCTGGAGTGTTGGATGGAAAACATGGAGCAGCGTGAGAAGACTGTGCTGCTGATCTCTGATCAGATTCAGCTCTCTGAAGGAAAGCAGAACCACCACACTGACATCTTGGTTCTCCAAGCCCTCTGCCCAGTCTAGAGTGAACTTCTGCACCGAAAAAGTTTTTCCAACACCAGCGACACCGATGGTTAGAACCACTCTGATGGCTCCATGTTGGTCAGCGAAGGCTTTAAAGATGTCATGGCACCTAATTGGAGAATCATGGAGGGTCTGTATCTTGGAAGATCTCTCCAGTTGCTTCACCTCATGTTGGGTATTAACCTCTTCACTCTGTCCTTCTGTGATGTAGAGATCAGTGTAGATCCTATTGAGGAGGGTTCTACTTCCCGTTTCATCACTTCCTTCAGTCACACATTCACATCTCCTCCTCAGACTGATTTTATGTTCCTCTAGAACCTCCTGGAGACCAACATCTACTGAAACAAAGAAGAAAAGAAAACAGATTTAGTGATGAAGTTAGAACCAAACCATCTGAAAAATGAGGTGGGATCATTAGTGAGATATGCCATTTAAATATGAATACTATCTGCGCCGAGACTGGATTGGATGTTACAATAAATTGTAACTTACCCCAATAGCTATAACATGCATATTTAAATAAATTATTTCTTGGCATATGGCACAACTCTGGTGAAAAAAAAAAAGAATCCATAAAATCCATTTATAAGTATTGAATTGTTCCTGCTAACAAACCAACAACATATTTTTTTGCGTTTTTGTCTTCAGTAAAATACCTCCAATGCAGAGGCTATCGATAGTCACTGCTCTCACATTCTGGTTTAGTGGGGAACTTCTTATTCTGACAAATATCCCTATCTCACAATGTTAGAGAATCTTTTAAAACAATACTGTATCCAGATTTCTATCTGGAACATCACCAAAATTGTATTGATTGTTCCTGGGCATGAGGGACCCCCTGGTAAAATGTTATTAAAATCTGTAAATTACTTTTCAAGTTATACCTTAAACAGAGAGAAAGACAGGCTAACACACAAACCCTCCTAAAACATAACCTCCTTAGTGGAGGTAATTAAAGACTGGAAATGACGCAGCACTGATTTGGTCCTTTAAAAGATTGTTAGACTGATTCCATGTTGTAAATATAAATATCTATCTTGTAACTAGAGTCTATTGTCAGAAGAAAATGAGATCTTTAGTGCATTATACAATGATATTAACCATGTTCATTGGTTTAGGGCAGGCACGGCAACCCTTGGCTCCACAAACTCTTGAGGCTCCCTGGAGCTTTTTCAAAAATGTATGAAAATGGAAAAATATGGATTTTATTTTGTTTGTTTTAATATGGTGCGCAGGAGTTCGAACAAACATTCATAATGTTTTCCAATGCTGTAATGTGAGTTTGGGATTGCATCTTCAAACTCCACTACTGCTGCTAGTTTTGTTGCAAGCATGGAAAGCATATTTGAGCTCTCCTTTACAAAACTAAAAGAAGATTTATCAGTGGGGATTCAACATTAATATAACGTTAACCTTCCTGTGATTTTTCAAATGCTCATTTAATTTTGTTAGCAAAATAATGAACAAAAAGTTATTTAATGTTTGCAAGCTACTAGCTCAATCAGAGAAGGTTAAGAATTAATTAACTAAAGGTAATTGGTTACTTATCAAGCAACATTATTTTTAAAATAATGTCACCTTTTGGGTTTGCATTGTAAATTACTTTGAACGTTCTAATTGCTCCAAATTAGTCAACAGATCATTTGAGCTCATTCAAAATTCTTAGTAAGAACATAAAATCCATGCTAAACTGTTTATATTGCATCAGTTTGGTGATTATCCTTTTCAACCATGCTTTTCTTTTTTGTGTAAATAGTAGTTTAGTTTATTTAAGCTTAACTAGTTTAGTCGAGAGTTTTTAACTGAAATTTGTTGACTTACATGCATTTAAATGCATTTAGCCCAAAGGGCTAAAAACAGAACTAGTTCTACAAACTCAAAAGGCTGTTGGTTGAAAACAATCATTTAATTTACAGCAGCTGGAATAATTGATCACAGAAAGACTTTGAACAGCTTGAATTCCAACTAAAGATGTGGAATTGGTTCAACAGAGAAGATAGAAGAAAACTTTGATGGGAGATGTTCAGTCTTACCTGCTGCACAGCTGCTCTGATGTGCTGCAAGCGGTCCAGCTATGAGTTTCTCTCCACACTGTGGTTTGCTCCTCGATCTGTGGAGACATTTCTTTCAGTCTGGACCATTGAAACCAGTTTAAACTTGAAGCTGCAGATGAGCTTTAGTGTTTTGTTGTGGAGATGTACTAAAATTAGGAAACATTTATTCTGAGTTCCTCAGATCAACTGCAACATGAATGGTAGCCGAGGTTCTGCTGAGCTCACAGCATGGAGCGAACAGAGAAGTGAGAAAGTTCTGTCTTCCAGCTGATCCGATCTGAGGGGGTGCTGGCCCCTTTGGCCCCTGCGAATAGCCAGCCTTGAATCTGACAGGTATGTGGGTGGAGAGAGCAGGAAGGACATACAGCTAATTGAACCAGAAAAGGAACCAAACGCCAGACATTAGGATGAGGGACTACAGCCATGGCACATGAAGCATCTACTCTACCACTGATCCACCCAAAACCCCAATAGAATTTGAATTGAATCAGAGGCAGGGTGACGCTAAGATTTGTTTGCAATTGGGAGGAAAGATATGCCACAGAGCAGCAGGTGAACAGCTGCTGTGAGAGTTCTGCTTTCTGAGAAACATGATGAAGATGTGGACAGACCCAACCTGCAACTCCACTGATAAGACTGTGTGGACAAAGACACCAAGGACCCTATTGCAGTGAGAGCTGCTTCTATAGCCCAGTTCACTCTGGTTGGAAGGAACCAGAACCAGTCTGCTGATTCATGGCACACCGAGTCTCTATCTCTGCTCATTTAGATTCTGATCTGAACAAGTTTTGGGATTTATCAGGCTGGAATGACAGAAAATGACTTTGGACCAGTCAGTAATCTGTTGGATGCTGATGAGAAACCAGCAGAACAAAGTCCAAACCATTGAGAAGCTGAAGATCAACCAGTTCAGATCCTAGAGATTCTGTCTCTACAGAATCACATCTATTAGAAATTAGTCCTTACTCTGAGTCTGAGGATCCAGGTTCTGCACTCAAGTATGGAGGTTCGTCTTTGGAAAAGTCACTCCTCACAGACGGACAGTTGGATCCTGGAGGTTGTGCTCTCTGTTTATGGTTCTGCCCTCTGAAACACAAACATGTACATTAGAATGAAGATATTTCCATAATTTTTTATGTTATCATATGAAGATCTGAATCAGATTTATTGTTTGATTTAAATTAAAAAAGCTCAAACTCATGAAAGAACATCTAGTCTGATGCTCCTTGAGGTGAATTAAACTGAACAAAGTCACATCTCAGTGGATTTATTTATTTATTTTTTTTAACTGCGTTCTTGATACGTTGTTTTTTGTTTGTAAATTAAAAAGTTTGCTTTGCTGCCAAACATTTTCAGGTAACCTTCAATTTAATACATCCTGATTTGTGCATTGAACAATGCACTGGACTATTTTTGTCCAAAGGCACACTTTAAAAATGTATCCCCTGGATCTGTTCCCCCGAGCATAGACACATTTCCACAAGACACTGAAGATCAACAAGTTCAGCTTCCAGAGATCCAACCACTGAAGAGTCACATGCATCAGTTAGAAACCGATTCCTTACTCTTTGTCTGAGGGTCCAGGTTCTTTACTGAAGTATGGAGGTTCATCTTTGGACCTGTCACTCCTCATGGATAGACAGCTGGATCCTGGAGGTTCTGCTCTGTCCTCCTCTATATCAAAATTATCCATCTTCTGGACTTCAGTCAGTCTAAGAGAGAAACCAGAACTAGTCAGTTCCCAGTGGTTCGGGTCCAGTTATTGTCTTGTAAAGCAGAACGCTGATTCCCCTCATGTGTAGAGGACCAGAGGAACCTGAGTCGAGCAGGTACCATCTGGATCTGAATGGTTCAAATTCACGGACTTTGGTGTTTTTACAGTCAAGCCTAATCTCTCCCAGACCTCCTGATTACTCTAAAGCAGAGGCGCTCAAGTCCATTCCAAGACCATCCTGTAACTTTTAGATGCATCTCTTTTCTAACAAACCTGATCCCCTCATTCAGTTCAACAGAGGTATGGTAACGAGCCACTCATTTAAATTTAGGTGGGCTAAAAACAGGATGCATCAAAAAGTTGCAGGATAGTAGCTCTTGAGGACTGCACTTCAGCACCCCTGACTTAGACAGAGCCTTTCCCAACAGGTCAGTTGATTAGCAGCCAAACACGGGGCAGCATACCGGTTGCCCCGTGTTTGAAAAAAGATGTGTCAACGTGTTATTTTCAGTGGGAAAGAAGTTTCGTTGAAAAGTCATAAGGGTGTTGCTCTAAGAGTTTGGCTATAGGCAACCTGTTGAGGCCTCCAAACTTTGGTTTTTACCCTCACACATGACGTTTTACTATCATATGACTGATTAAAGAAGATGACTCGAAAACTTTATGTCCACACCTCTCACTAAATATTCTTAATAGTGTGCTTCTGGCTGGGAATTAATAACAGCAGAGTTTAAACTAAATTCTAAATCATAACTGATCAATAGCCATTCTTTTTCTAACTAAGCTGACGAAGCCGATTATCAAAGAGGCAATTAAAATGGAAGAAAAGAGCAGATTACTCAGATTTCAGATGTATAATGATAAGTGTCTGAGTTCTGGGCTGGTGTGGTTAAACATGCTCTGGGGTTGTGAGGATGTTTGGATGTACTGCTAAATTCTCTGAAATGCCTTTGGAGCGGTCTTATCGTAGAGAAATGAACATTCAATATTCAAGCAACAGCTCTGTTTGATATTCCTGCTGTCAGCATGCCAACTGAACACTCCCTCAAATCTTGTGACATCTGTGACCCTGTTCTGTGTGATAAAACTGTATCTTTCAGAATGGCTTTTTATTGAGGGCAGTATAGTGTGCAATAGTCATGGTGTACAATCAGCACCTTGATTTGGCACCTGTAAGGTGGGATGGATTACCTCAGCAAAGGTTAAGTACTCACTATCACATAATTAGTCCGGTTAGTGAACAATATTCAAGGGAAATGATTATATTGTGGTTGTGTAAAAAGTTTTAGATCTTTTTAATTAATATCATGAAAATGGGAGCAAAACCAAAAGTGTTGCATTTATATTTTTGTTGAGTGTAATTCCCAGGCATCCAGTGAGATTTGACTTAAATCCACAGAAAATCTGAATTAAAGTCCAAAAAAATGGGAGTAAATCTGAATTTAAATCCAAACAAAAAATGAAAAGGTTTAATTCCAAATTAAAATCCAAATATTTGAAAGTATAGCCATTAGAGGAAACCGGGTTTGGTACTCCACACCAAAATGGATAGTCAGATCCATCCTTTGAGAACATCTAAAAAAATTTGAAAAGTAATACCAAAAAAGAAAAAAAAAATTCCCAAAGGCAGATCCTGAAAGTAAATCCACATTCCATTAAAGACTCCACTTCAACTCCACTGATCAGGTCAAAAGCATAAAATTATTTAACTGTTATAATCTGCTGAACGCTAAAATAAAACATATAGATGCAAGTTCATTGTGATCAGTATAGATTGACCCTGAACTTGTTTCGGACCTTAAACTATAAACACAAATCCGATTTTGCATCCTAACCGACAAAAAAATCGTGTCTGGTGAGGTCATGGGGTTTAGTGCTCATTGACTCATTGATTTTATGCAAGGGAACTTGCATAGCTCAGACTGAAATAGATTGCAGGTCCAGTTTTGTGCAAGTTCATAATAGAAAAAGAAAAGTCCCGCTGGGCACAGTTTGCAAAGAAATGTGAGTTTTTCTTTTCCTGTCCGAGTCTCCCTTTGTTCGTTCATAAAACTCCGCCAAGCCCTCTGCAAAATTGGCATCAGAAATACCAGCAGATGAGTCTGAATCGCTCAGACCACTGCTAGCAGTAGACATGCTGGTCTGTCATTGTGTTTGCCTTAATAAGTGCCCTTATCAATTGAATGTGAACATGAGCTATGTGTGTCACTCATTCTCAGAGTGAACGTCCCTCTCGTTCAAGTTCATTACTTCAAAACTGGTCTGTTCAGTTCACCGTTCACTAAAAATATGTATTCAGTGAACGCCGTTCATTGAACGCATTCGTGCACGACACTGCCCAGGTCTATATTAGTCGGACTACGCAGCAATTCACTGGCAATTTCATTGGCCTGGCAGGAAGAGAAATGTGATTAGAAACAAACTGAGGGAAAATCTCTTAATCTCAAAGGAAAACTGTCCGGAAATACTTGTGCACTAACAACTGATTAAACATAAAAAAAATAGAAGATTTTACACATGATATGACTTAGGTAGGACAGAAAACGGATAAGGATCCTCTTTGAGCTTCAGAAAAACAAGGGAAAGAAAGCGCAGTTTATCACTCTCCATGAGAAAGACAGAGCAGGTAAGCAAAGTTCATCAACCTCCCCCCTTTATGAAAAAAAACCCAAAACCTCAAAGATCTTTCTGAGTATCACCTCTCAGAGTTATTGCAGAGTTTTCTTTTCTTTAGAGGTAAATCTCCTTATGTATTTAATATAGGCATATGAACATTCTCTATGTGTTCTGTTTTAGAGAGATGCTGCACAGACTTGTTAAGTAGGGCTTTGCTGCGACTGTGTTCATTTTATTTATTAAATTATTTTAATTTGTGTAGCACGGAGAAGGAAGTGAAAAAAAAAAATCTGCACAGCTCTGCTCACCCTGCCTAGTTAGAGCCTTTCTATATGCAGTCAGTGAGACATGGGGAAAAAAAAGTTTGGAGATTAAAAGTCAGACCTTACCGGTTTGTTCAGGTCTTAATTATTTTTGGCCACAACTCAGCACACATCGCTCCCTGTCTGGACCCGTCTATGGAAATCCTGGAACTGCCACTGCACTTAAACTAGCAGAGATTTTAAAACATAAACTTAAGGAATATTTTGACTTGTACCTTTTATTTTCACTTCATTTTTGTATGCTTTCAGTAAAGAACTTTGTGACCCTCCTTTGCCTGTTAAAGGTGATAAATAAATTCTTCCTTCCTTATACTTGTCCTGAAAAAGTCTCTCCCTGTCAGGCTCTCACTCCCCTTTCAGCTTCATTTATCATTTTTGGCTCCTACATACATTAATCGTTTTGTGCACAAAGAAGCAACAGAAATTAGAATAATGAACAAGTATATATATAAAAAAAAGTTCACTGCTACAGCTACGACAGGAATGAGTACTCTATCCTTTCACTTCAAACTAACCAATCACACAAACACAGCAGAGAGGTTGTCACCAGAACCAAGCTACACGCCTCAATTACATGGTGATGTATTGGCTAATGCCTGACCACTGATCACTGGATTACTGATACGCCCAAAAAAAGTGAGGCCACTGGCCGCCATATTGGTACTCCCCACTCCAACAGAGACAAGCCATAAAAACAAACAGTTTGCAGGCTATGGGAAGACAATTCAGAGGTAACTTCACAGTCAGTGAATGTACTACCCAGGAAAATCCTAATATACGCCGATGTATCCCATAGTACAGTATGTAGCGTAACATTAGTCTGGCTATGTCGGACTGACTCGCAGATATTTTTAACTTAATATTCTGCACTCTGTGAGTTAAGAAGACGGGTCTCCAACCAATGGACAGTAGTTGACCCTCTAAGACGCAGCCTTCATCATTACGACAGGCAGAAGTAAATAGCACTGAAGAAATAAATAGGGAAAAAAATACAAAGGAAGAATAAAACAGAAAAATATAACATGCACATAAATAAATACTTTGAAAAATAAGCAATTAATAAAGTTGAAAACTATAACGGACAATAAATAAATAAGGTAATTATTACAACATTTCTACCTTCATTTATTTGTTTTTTGTATTTTTGGGAGCAATTAATGGTATGCTTATTTATGTATTGCACATTTATTTATTTCTGTATTCATTTTTAAATATGGTAGAGCTGGTCCTCCATAATCGACATTGTGTCCAATGTTAGAAATTACAATAAATAGAAAGTAATTCACTGTAAAATGTCAAAGTAGTAATTTTTTGCTAATTGGATAATGCTGTCGTTTTTGTAGTGTTTGTTGCATTTCCCATTTGAAAAAGTCATGTACTGAAATATATTGCATGTTATATTGACGGGAAAAAAAGTTACTCAAAAAGTTTTATGCATAGACAGAACATAAAAGTAAATAGCATCATGTATGCACAATTTTCAATTACAAAAAATAAAAAAATACTACAGCATTAACAGACATGTACTTGTAATTCAGTCTTGTAATTATATGCAATTACCACAACAATTTCATCACTACATGTACATCATCAATTTAGCAATTTTGGCACATCTGTAATATTGTGCTCCATTAACACATTCATTTCTTTTTTTCTTTTTTAATAATCATATTACATGATTTATAGACTTCATAATGACTATGCAATGTGATGTGCCTAATTTTTTGTATAATAAATTACAGTGATCTAATGATGCAATGAAGCAGCTTGTGTGTCCAAAGTGATATATTTATTTTTATGCATTAAAATGTTAAAATCATCGTTGATCGATGCTGTAGCGCACGTATTGTTTACATTGCGACCGGTCTACCTAGGGCGTACCAATATGGCGGCCGGTGGCTTCACTTTGCCTTGTACTACCAACGGGCTATCAGCAATCCAGTGAATAAAAAGACATCGGTGTGTCTGACGCCAAAGGTAGCTTGTTTATTTCTAGAACAACTTTACCTTACGCTGGCTAACGCTCCTAGTGAAATTATGAAATCAGTAGAGCCTTTTAGGAGTGTGTGGAGTAGAGGAGGGCGTTTCTGCTTCTTCTTCTTCTGTATGGAATTTTACTGGTCGTTGGCACGCACGAAATGGCGCATTACCGCCACCAACTGGTATGGAGTCTGGAGTGTTCTTAAAGGAATAGTACACCCAAAACATGATTAGCCTTCATTTTCTACTCACCCCCATGCTGAACAACACTCTGGAGTACTTTTTTGATATCTCAAATGCATCTGGAGATCTGGGAGGCTTCTTGCTGTCTGCTGACATTCAAATAATGGAGGTCTATGGTGCCCGAGACAGAAAGGTCCATAAAAGTCCACAAAAAACGTTTCAATATTCCTCCATACTGCTCGTCCAATGTATTCCAAGTTTTCTGAGTGGGTAGCATCCAGAATTTACTCGAAACGAAGTCATTTAGAATGTTTTTAGAGCATAAACAGTAGTGTATAGGATTTCCTGAAAGCGCGCACATGCGCGCTCACGACGCTACGGAAGCCGGCAGACCAAACCAGCGCATTCAGCTCGGCAAAGAACTCATGCTCTTCCTCAACACTGAAGTCCTCAGACATTTTTCTTTCGTTGTTTCTTTCTTTGCACAGGTAAACAGCACATTTCTTCTTCTACGCTTGCATTATTGGCAGAGCAGACGCTGAATGCGCACTTTCATCTGGTTTGGTCTGCCGGCTTCCGTAGCGCCGTGAACGCGCAGGTGCGCGCTTTCAGGAAATCCTATACACTACTGTTTATGCTCTAAAAACATTCTAAATGACTTCGTTTCGAGTAAATTCTGGATGCTACCCACTCAGGACACTTGGAATACATTGGACGAGCAGTATGGAGGAATATTGACACGTTTTTTGTGGACTTTTATGGACCTTTCTGTCTTGGGCGCCATAGACCTCCATTATTTGAATGTCAGCAGACAGCAAGAAGCCTCCCAGATCTCCAGATGCATTTGAGATATCAAAAAAGTACTCCAGAGTGTTGTTCAGCATGGGGGTGAGTAGAAAATGAAGGCTAATCATGTTTTGGGTGTATTATTCCTTTAATACAAAAAAGTCAACCTTCAAATAATTATGTAGTTATGCACTCAATACTTGGTCGTATGGAGGACCAACTCTGCCATATTTAAAAATACAGAAACAAATAAATGCTCAATAAATATAGAAGCATACATTATTAATTGCCAACAAAAATACAATAAACAAATAAATGTAAGTAGAAATTAAATTATAAAGTGAGACATAAATGTATATAACTCTTAATTAGCTTCTTTATTTACCTTTTTAATATTTACCTTATTTATTTTTTTGTCCTTTATAATCTTCAACTTTATTTTTTAATTACTTATATATTTTTAAGTATTTATTTATGTGCATGTTATAATGTTTTTGTCTGTTTTATTCTTCCGTTGTATTTTTTTAACTTAGTTATTTATTTGCCGCTGTTTATTTTTGTCTGCCCTTTTTACATTTCTCTCTGCCCGTTTCACATTTCGGCCAGTCATGTTTACATTTCTGTATGCATTTCTGTCTCATTATGCAAATTAGAAGGGGGGGGGGTGTCCTAGAGAGTCAACTTCTGCTCATTGGTTGGCTTGGCGGTCCATCTTCTTAACTCACAGAGCTCAGAGTACTAAGTTAAATGTTCTCTTTTCTGTTGCTGTTGTTCAATAAAAGTACGTTTTAAGACCATTTGAGGCGAGAACATTATATTTTTAAGTATCACCATACGGTCCATTCACAGATTTAATGTGTAATTTAAAAGAAAATGTGACGAACTTGAGAGGACCACGGCACCAGCGGAGTTCCGAGGCTGACTGAAGCCAGGTCTAACCGCAGCCAGTCTGCAGCGGCCCTCTCTCGGCATAGCCGTATGTGAAGGACCGCTGGCTATGAGAAGCCTTACAAGCCAGCGTTTTTATGAGGCACCGTGTGCGTATTTATAAGCGTATCAACGCTACAAACAAGCAACATTTCCCGCAATCACGTCTCAATGCCTCATCAGCGCAGCACATATTCTATTCCCAACAAGATTAAACGCAAGCTTACCGGCTGTCTTTTAAGTAATTCGGTTCCTCAATACAAACTTTGCACAGCTTCTTCCACTGCCCGAGTAAAACGGCAGGCTTTTTATTTTAAACTGCGATCCTCTGCTCAAACTAGGAAGTTTGAATCACTTTCATTTGATTGACTGATTGCACGCAGGTAAGCTGCGTGCGCACGCTCATACAGCTGATGAAAACAAAAGGGGCGTTACTCCATTACTTATTTTTATTCCTACTTTTGACTTCTACTCATTACATTTTTCACACAAGTATCTGTACTTTCTATTCCTTACATTTTTAAAACAAACGTTACTCCTTACTCTTGGCTTCGGTTTAATGTTAATAAATATTTATTTCACGTCATCTGCGTCATCCAATGCAGATCATTGGTTCCATCCACATCTAGTGAAAACTAGTGTAATTGGATGAGTCATATAAAGCAAACACTCATTGGTTAGTTAAAGGAAGCAAGCAGATGTTCTTCAAACTGCAAACATGAATTGTCTATTCCATGCTACAATGTCGGAATCAGAAAAAGATGTAGAAATGTCTGAAAGGTCGGACACAGGCAAGAGCGTATCGGGAGATGGAGACCAACAAGACCTCCCTCATCCTTGGCCCTATCTCAAAGAATATTTCTAAATAATCGAAAAATTGAGCTTTCAATTCAAATAGTGGCATCTGGCTTTTTTTTTTTTTTTTAAAGATTACTTTTTACTTTTATACTTTAATTAGTTTTTGGAGCACATACTTTTTCACATTTACTTGAGTAAAGAGGTCAAGTTGATACTTCAACTTTTACCAGAGTGTTTTTAAACTGCAGTATCTATACTTCTACTCAAGTACTAAATGTGTGTACTATTGACACCACTGGGTGATATGGAGGCCCAGGATGCTTCGATAGCGGCCTTTAGCTCATCCACAGTGTTGGGTCTTGCGTCTCTCAACTTTCTCTTCACAATATCCCACAGATTCTCTATGGGGTTCAGGTCAGGAGAGTTGGCAGGTTGATTGAGCACAGTGATACCATTTACCAGTGGTTTTAACACTGAGAGCAGGTGCCAGGTTGTGCTGAAAAATGAAATCTTCATCTCCATGGAGCTTTTCAGCAAATGAAGGCATCCAAAATCTCCTGATAGCTGGCTGCATTGACCCTGCCCTTGATAAAACACAGTGGACCAACACCAGCAGCTGACATGGCACCCCAGACCATCACTGACACTGGACTCCTTGCATTTTTGCATTTCCTTCTCCCCAGTGTTCCTCCAGACTCTGGCACCTAGATTTCCAAATGACATGCAAAACTGAGCAACAGTCCAGTGCTGCTTCTCTGTAGCCCAGGTGAGGCGCCTCTGCTGCTGTTTCTGGTTCAAAAGTGGCCTGACCTGGGGAATGCGGCACCTGTAGCCCATTTCCTGGACACACCTGTGAATGGTGGCTCTGGATGTTTCTACTCCAGACTCAGTCCACTGCTTCCTCAGGTCCCCCAAGGTCTGGAATTGGTCCTTCTCCACAATCTTCCTCAGGGTCCGGTCACCTCTTCTTGTTGTGCAGCGTTTTCTGCAACACCTTTTCCTTCCCACTGAGGTGCCTTGATACAGCACTATGGGACCAGCCTATTCATACAGAGATATCTTTCTGTGTCATACCCTCTTGCTTGAGGGTGTCAATGATGGCCTTCTGGACAGCAGTCAGGTCGGCAGTCTTACTCATGATTGGGGTTTTTGAGTGATGAACCAGACTGGGAGTTTTAAAGGCCTCAGGAATCTTTTGCAGGTGTTTAGAGTTAATTTGTTGATTCAAATGATTAGGTGCATAGCTCGTTTAGAGACCTTTTTCATGATATGATAATTTTGTGAGATAGGAATTTTGGGTTTTCATGAGCTGTATGCCAAAATAATCCTTATTAAAGGGATAGTTCGGGATTTTTGACATGAATCTGTATGGCATCCCCATCACCAGTGTCATGCAATCACACTGACTTACCCCTGGCAGCATCCCGTGAGCAGAGTTCTCGTCCAGCTTTGGTCAAGCCGAAAGTAGTCCGGCAGGTTTGCTAGACCCAGCGAAATAAAACGTTTCTCTTCCCAAAACATTATGTGTTCAAAAGAGCGATATTTTTGCATCCCAAAAACATTGTAGTGGAAAAAGTCACACGTCGTTATCACTTGGTCCTATTTTCTCTCTGTTCGTATCAGTGCGCGCGACACCATGACCTGACAGCTATGGCCTACCTGTTTGATTCGCAATTGTTTACTACTGGGGAAGATGTCTGACTACGAGAGTGACGAGGAAAACATCGACTTCCACTTAGAGCCAAAGGGATATCTTTATGAACCCGAGTACACTGACGATGAACTTCGACAAATGGAGTTAGATCGGGCAGAAAGAGAGAGGGTGGACAGAGAAGTGATGGAAGCTGAAGCCGGAGCCGCAGGAGCCACAGCTGGAGCTGCGATATCCAGGGTGGCCGACAAATCATGGTGCACTTGTTTCAAGTGCGAATTAATGCAGACAGAGGTGGAATGCTACTGTTGCCACGAGTGGGATTTAGTAATGCCCGAGATACAGAACCTTTCCATTGATGAGGATGTCGGAGTTGCAGCAGCTGCTGTCTGCATCACTGAAAGCACTGAAATGAGCTGGAAAAGTTGAGCTCGCTGTCAGAATGACGGCGCGCACTGATACGAACAGAGAGAAAATAGGACCAAGTGATAACGACGTGTGACTTTTTCCACTACAATGTTTTTGGGATGCAAAAATATCACTCTTTTGAACACATAATGTTTTGGGAAGAGAAACGTTTTATTTCGCTGGGTCTAGCAAACCTGCCGGACTACTTTCGGCTTGACCAAAGCTGGACGAGAACTCTGCTCACAGAATGCTGCCTGGGGTAAGTCAGTGTGATTGCATGACACTGGTGATGGGGATGCCATACAGATTCATGTCAAAAATCCCGAACTATCCCTTTAAGATAATAAAATACCTGAAATATTTCAGTTAGTTTGCAATGAATCTAAAATATATGATGGTTCGAGTTTTATCATTACATTATGGAAAGTAATTAACTTTATCACAATATGCTAATATTTTGAGAAGGACCCATACTTATACTGAACAAAACAAAATCAACAAAAAAAAACCCCAATAAAACCAAATTAAGATTCAAATCAACGTAAATATGTTGCCTAGAAGTTATAAGCAGGCAATCGGAAAAAATACTAAATAATATCATATTAAAAACCTGTATTTCTAAAACTGGAACTCCTCTGAGTAACTCCCTTATAATCACATTTAAACTCCAGGAATTTGGAACACCCATATTTCAGTGAGAAAAACAGCCAATCCCAGGCTGTTCTCTACATCCGGTCTATTTTCTGCCTTGTTTTGCTAAACTCAAAAATACTATTTATTTTTTGGTTGATAAAAACTTGTTTCATTTTTCTATGGGGTCCTCACGAATCAAAACTGATCCCCATTTTATTTTACAACCTAAGAAATAAAATATTTTCATAGACTCCTTCCAATGCACTCATGGACCACTAGGGGTACGCATACCCACAGTTGGGAAACACTGTTTTATGCTGCAAACACTCAATCATTGTTTGATGGTGGATCCCTTTATGCATCTTTGAAATAAATAAATAAAAAGAATCATTCATTCATTATTTTTCAACTTTATTCTCATAATATAACGACTTGACTATTCTCGAAATGTTGTGACTTTATTAAAAAATCTATAGCCTGGCCCTAATACTCTGTTATTTGTATTTGGGCTCTAATCATAGTGGCGATCGGAAATAAAACACCTCTCTCATTCAGAATAAAATTTATTTTGAATAAAATTTATTTCCAAATCTGAATTTGGAAACAGATTTTATTCAGAATAAGATTTATTTCCAAATTCAGATTCAGGTTTATTGTACAATATTTCAAACTATGGTAGAAAACCTTAGAAAGTGAGCAGTGAGCTTTAGAACTCGCTCCTTTGCCTTATTAAATGCAAACTTTGACTGAACTCCCGTTGAGCTGATGATGAAACTTTATCATTGTAAAAAAAAACCTGCTTTGTTTGGTTAATTAGCTGCTGCAATTAGCAAGCTTCTCTAAATCCTCTCAAACACGAACGCGCATGCGCTGGCCCATCGGTTGCCATGGACACGGAACGCCTATCTCTAACGCTCATTTCTAACTTGGACCTTGAAGGTTGAACTTGCTGCAGTCTGTGGTTTGCTAACCTGCTAAAGATGAGCAACGCACCAGAGGAGAACAACTTGTCGGGACATCACCTGGAAGGTTTATGTCACTCTTTTACTATGTTAATTTAGAAAAATTTTAGGAGAAAAATTATTAATTTGATGTTTTTTTCATGAAGTTGGCTACATGTAAGCTAGCTGCTAAGCTAGCTTAGCTTGTAGCATCTTTGACATCTCAGAGATTAAATGTTTTTAGTCAACTGAATGTTAACAGCGATTTAATGATTGGAAAATAACTCTTATTTCTGTTTGAGAGAAACACCTTTGTTGAATTAGATGTGAAATGTTTGAAAACTAGATGGCGCTAGCTCTATGATTTTTATAAAATGCATTTTGCTCTATATGGATATGTTGGTGAAATTACATTAAATAAATATTAAAATATATTTGAAGGATATTTAACCTTATATATTTGCAAGCCAAACTGTTTACTTTCTGTATTTAATTAAAAAGTTATAATTATAATTATAATTTTTAGTATTTTGGAAGTCGACTGAATTTAAACCTGTTAAACAACTGGAAAAAATAAGAGATGAAGTTTTTTAGTTTAGTAAATGTGTTTAGGAAATAAGTTTTTAATCAGTGTTTTAAAAAAAGGTTTTTAAGGGATAATATGTATTAAATAGATTTTTTATTGGTTGGAAATAGGAGGAATGATAACAGAAATGTAATGATATAAAACAAAAACACATTTTGGTTTAAGAGGATAATTTTTGATTAAGTTAATCTGGAAATGGTTAAGAGATACAAAATAAATTGTTTTAGGATAAACTTAATATTGTTATTTACATTGGAACTTGAAAGGGGAGGGTTTTTAAAAAAATGCTTTGGTAAACATGTTGGTCTCCATGGATACCTTAGTGGAATGCATTAAACAACGTTAAGGCTTTTTTAAGGTGGCATATATTTTATAATTTAATGGAAGGCCAAAGGTGTTAAAAATGTTTCATTTTCAAGTTTCTGGTTTCAAAGGGTCATTTTTGGTAAATTTGGTTTCCAATCCTTTAAAAACAAGATGAACAAGTATGGTCTCCATGGATACAACAATAAACAACTATAAGGTTTAAAATTATTGTGAAATAAAAATGAGATCCTTTAGATTTTTGGGCTGTAACATGTTTAGAAGTTGAGTAAGTTTATTATAAGTGCTGCCATTGCTAACTGTGTGAGGGAAACATAGAGAATAAATGTTTAATCAAGAGTTTAGAAAGGAGGATGATATGTTTATGTTTACAGGGAGAAGGTAGAATTAAAACATCAATTTAGAACAATTTATTATTTAAACATATTTCTGAGCTCATTCTTAATTTTTCTTCAGGCCTTGTTTGGATCTTCGGGTGAATGTAAAACATTTCATCCCATCTGTCACCAGTAATAATACAATTTGTTCATTGAGGACTCATTTTCTAGATCTCAAAACATTCAACACTGGAGGGTTTCGCTAAACCATTAAAGGTTCTGTATCGGTCTCCGCCAGTCACGTGACTTTTGTTGCTAAGACGCCATTTTAGTTGGAAAAGGTGTAGTGTAAACAACCGCAGCATAGCTAAACGAAGGACTAAAGGCCTGTTTACATAGCAGCCTGTCCAAGATAAGTCATTACAGTTAACATAAGCCTGAAAACAGGGGCGGATTTAGGAAAATCGGTCTCCGCCAGTCATGTGACATTTGTTGCTAAGACGCCATTTTAGGTGGAAAAGGCATAGTGTACCGCGCCCGAGGTAAACAATTGACGTCACTTGGCGGAGACCGATAGGACCCTTTCTTAGAGTTTTTAGAAAAAGTACAAAAGTTTGCTAAAATCCATTTCTGCTCTGGGCTTTCTATGTGTTAATAAAAGTCTTTATTTCTACTCTAGGATGCATTGAGGAAGGGGTCTGATAAGCCTAGGTTCTGATTCTGAGAAATTATAGATCTGAAATTTAAAGCCTGATGTTTTTAAGCCTTTATTTCTGTTAATTAGGACAATTTTCTGCTTATAGTTAATTAACCTAAAAGATTCATGATTATATTACCAAATCACCCAGTGAAACTTTTTCCCCCGATAAAGAATAAAAAAAAAGGTTTGTTTACAAACGTCCTTTAATCTGAACTAATCCGAATGAATAATCTGGGTCAGCAGCTCCCAAAGGGGTGACGCGTGCCCCCTAGGGGGAGTTTAGTGTAATTGTAGGGAGCGTAATAGAAATAAAATAAATAAATGGATCATTTAGAGTGTATTTTTTATTGTTAACATCCTGAAATAAAAATCTAAACCCCATTAACCAGTAAAAAAAAAGATTTGAATTGAAAATTAACTTACAATTTAATGTTGGTCTTGTGATTTAAAGGATATTGTAGTTTTTTGTTCTTAAATTAGCCGTCAGCAAAAAAGCTGGTGAGGACGAGCAAAATGTCCTCCCTTTACAACGATCACTCCTCATTGTGACGGTGAAATCAGAAAAATGCTCCTCCCACTGATGCTGAGGATCATATACACAGATATATAGATATATATAAATACTTGTGTGTATTTTTGTATGTATGTGTTCTTTTAGAATGATTTAAATTTTTTCTTTTAACACTAACCAAACCACTAGCATTGATTAGATGTTTTTTTTAATTAGTTTTAGCTCACAGATTGATGTTCTTTTTTATTAAATCTACTTAAATCTGACTAACTCACACAGGCACAGCCAGCAACCTAAAATAAAGCATTGAGTTTTGTGATTTAATGTTCCTTAATTAATGTTCCTGGTCTAATGATTTTTTTCCTCATTGTTCCAGACGCCCCGCTTCCATCTGATCCTCCCCTGGAGCTCTGCATCCTGATGACGGATCAGGTTGATTTCCCTTTTCTTATCAGGATAGAACTGTCCTCCAATGACTATGAGGAAGATTTTACCGCGGATGGTGCAGAGATTGTACCTGGGTTTTCGGTGTATGACAGGATAGGGGATTATCATGAGGTTGGTTGGCCTTTTAATGGTGAGTCTCTTGATGGGTCTAGTGAAGGCTCCATGTATGGTCTCTGCGATAGCTCTGAGACAGAAGACGACGAAGACGATGACAACGATGACGATGAAGACGATGACGATGAAGACGATGACCACCTTCCACCACAGGGCGAAGAAGACCACCAACCTCCAGGGACCGGCTCTGTCTCCAGGAAGAGGACAAGAGAGGAAGACGAAGATGAAGAGGAGCCCCCTGCGAAGATGTTTGGTCGTGGGAGGGAATAGGGATAGGAATTTCATCAAGGAGTTTGTTAAGGAGTCTGGCAGGTCTAGGGATGCCTCAGGTAGCGTCTTGCACTGTGGCTTTTCTTTATCCCGCTGCTAGATTTAGTTTTTTTAGATGTTAAGGAGTCTGGCAGGTCTAGGGATGCCTCAGGTAGCGTCTTGCACTGTGGCTTTTCTTTATCCCGCTGCTAGATTTGTTTTTTTAGATGTTAAGGAGTCTGGCAGGTCTAGGGATGCCTCAGGTAGCGTCTTGCACTGTGGCTTTTCTTTACCCCGCTGCTAGATTTTGGTTTTACGATGTTAAGGAGTCTGGCAGGTCTAGGGATGCCTCAGGTAGCATCTAGCACCGTGGCTTTTCTTTACCCCGCTGCTAGATTTAGTTTTTTAGACGTTAAGGAGTCTGGCAGGTCTAGGGATGCCTCAGGTAGCGTCTTGCGCCATGGCTTTTCTTTACCCCGCTGCTAAATGTTAATTTAAGTTTTAGATCTTAAGAATTTTCCTTTAGCACAGACATCAGAGCAGAGACTGGAGACGTGCTACAATTTATAAAAGCTGTGAAACATGAGAGCTGGTTAAAGCAGAAATAATCTAACATGCTCTACGTCTAATGACAGAGCTGGACCATCTCCTAGGTAACAGAAGGCAAACCAAACAATCTAAGGGTTAAGAACAAGGTTTTACAAGAACAAAAACAGAATGGAGCCAAATGGAAAAAAATAGATAAAAGATAAACACATAAATCCTGGTTGAAAACAGGCGAAGCACAAGGAGGCAACCCAAACTGAGGCAACAGCTGGACATCGCTGCTGGGGACACATCAAAACCTCTAAGGAGTGAGACATCGCTGCTGGGGACAAAAACACAGGAAGTCAAACTAAGAATCTAAAGGTCTAAAAGTGGAGATGAGGAAAACTTAAAGTCTAGAGGCAGAGGGACAAGGCTGTAGTGGAGACTGATTAGCAGCTCTCTAACTCCAGTCCTCTACAGCAGTGCTTCTGCAGCTTTCAGGTGCATCTCTCCTCCAACACACCAGGATCAAACAAACAGCCTTTTACCAGACCTCTGCAGAGCTGAATGACTGATGAGGGAATTCAGCCGTTCGATTCAGGTCTGATGGAGAAGAGATGTGACTAAAAGCTGCAACATAGCAGCTCTGGAGGAGTGGAGTTGGAAAGCCCTGATCTATAGCAGGACAATGCTGCTGGAGACCAACTGGATCTAGAATAGAACAGTGACACAGCTTGTTAAGGTCATCAGTTGAACTGTTCTCTGGGATGATGGTGAGAAGGTAAAGACGATGCTTGGAGGGACTAGTTGATTTCAGAGCAGTTTGAGGCAGAGGACAGGACTGATGGAAGGATGTGGGTTGTGAGTGACTGTGATTATTAGAACCCGCTTTCAGCTGTGAGTTGATCTAGTTCTAGATGTTCCTCTGGTCAGTTGGTGAAAGAACCCTCTGCAGACATACTCTCCATATGATCTAGGCCAGTTCTGACCACAGTGGATCTCTTCTGTGTTTTCTGAATCCCATGTCGGACCGAGCCGCTACAAGCTTTTGGCCGTCAGAAGATGCTGATGAGATCTACGGCGACCAAACCAGAGGAGCAGTAAACAGTGAGAGCATGTTCAGTAAGGAGCAACAATGATCCATCATTTAAATATAAAGTCAACATTTCAGGTGGCCTCACTTAGTTTTTCATTTATCTTCAGACTCTGTGGACGTCCAAAAGCAGAACTCCTGTGAGGAACCGGGACCTCCAGGATGCTGAGGAGCCTCCCAGTCCCCACCTGAGGACGACACAGAGGAAAACACCTGGAGTAAGCCTTTATTAACACGACAACAGAAAACTCAACTTTAAAATTTGTGTCGAGGAAATTCTGTAGATTAATTTAGCCTCTTTTGTTTTACAGGGAAAGAAGGTTGAATATGGAAGCAGCGTTCTAGCAGTCGGATCTCCGTGGAACAGACTCCATCCACACGTGTTTGAAGGTATGTTGGTTGTTAGACTAGAGAGGAATCACATGCAGACAGTTTCAGACTCTGACGACGCTTTGCTTTCATTGATGAAGGAGCTGAAGCAGAGGATGGAGAACACAGACCACCAAGGAGGAGAAACATGGCTCCTCTGCTCGTCTCTCCAACATTCTGGAGTCCTGGAATGAAAAACGTCGACGACCCCGCAGCTAAACCATCAGTCTGCTCCACCCAGAAAGAAGGTAAAGAACCTTTATTGCTTCCAGATGTTCATCAGTATTGGTGATGACAATAAAAACAGATCCAGAACAAATAGATTTAAAAGCCAAAACCATCCCATCAAGGTGGTCTAACCTTTAATCCTTATCTTTCCATCATGAATGGATGTTCATCTAAATTTTCATCTCTTTTACCAAAACTTTACCAGAACCAGAAGTTCTGACTTTTCCATTAGACCACAGATAAACAGTTCAGAAGCAGCTTCTGATCCAATATGGGAGAATTTCCCCCTGGTTGATCTCTGAAGGGTTTTTAGAACTTATTAAAGCAGAGAAACGACCCTGATGAAACCGACTGTAGACTCCAACAAATGCAGCATTTTCAGGCATTTTCTCCAAGCATCCATTGTCTACAGTTATCACTGCTGTTAGCTTTAGCTTCTCCCTGTGTGTTTTCCTCTTCTCTTGGTTAAAGTTCCACCTCTCTCAGTCTTTCTGTGTTAAATGTCACAGACCAGCGTGTTCTCTCACTAACTCCTGTTCTTCTTTTCCAGAGATGGTCAGCTGCTCCTTGGACCGGCTCCTCTGTGTCTGTTGGACGTCTGCTGTCCTGTTAAAGACTCGCTCGGCTGCAGTAGATGGGCGCTGACATGGAGCCGGGTTCTGCTGGAGGATCCTTCCTGCTTAAAGCTAGTTTTCCTCTCTACTGTCACCACTTCATTGCTCAGGAGGAGGGACTGATGGAAGATTGGCTGAGCTTCCCTGGATTGAATATGTTTCTTTAAACGCCATAATACACTGAATTTATTTTCATTATGCTGTAAATAGGATCTAACTTGACTTTTATTATTGAATTTCATTCTGTGTTTGTGTTGAATTCTGTTACATGTTTTTGTTTTAAAGCTCTCATGTAAATTGCCTTGATATCATATTAGCTGTGACTTGTTTTTATTTTTAAAATTGAATTATATCAAATTCTGCCTACTGGGTCTGGTTCTGTTAAAGGATTCCTGTCATTCTATCTTCATCTGTTATTTATTATTACTATAATAAAGGTTTGATTTTTGTTAATTTTTCTTGAAATAAGTGTTTGTAAAATGTTTTTTTTTTATAAATAAACAAACTGAAGTCAACTTGAGCAAGAGTTTTAATATTACTATAGTGCAGCTCTTTAGCATATGTGTGGTTATTATTGTTTCTCATGTAAACAGAACAATTGTTCTGGTCATCTTGCAGCGTTTGAACAAATTAGGTCTATAAAGTTTGTGGTCTTTGTTCATCAGTGGAGGTTCCAGAAAAAATATATAGGTTTGCACAGAGGGGAGGATGAAAATTAAAAGATGTTAAAAACATTTTAAAGTCAATCTCTGCTGATCAAAATAAACAAGAGCATAGTTCAAACATCGTTATTTTCCAAATTAATCAGCAAATAACAGACCAGATTTCCATGAGGTCCTTGGGAATGAAGCTCCGCTCATATTTACATTAGTGGAAGTTAAATAAGAACGTTTTCTAAATAATCACTCGACCTGTTCTTACAACTTCTATGTCATTTGTTTTTTTAACTTCAAATTGCGTTAAAAAATCCTTCCACGTATTAACCCATCACAGAGGTTAAATGCTGTTTGTGGTCCTTAAAGAGTCCTTGCATTGGATATGGAAAAGTTTAGAAACCCTGCTTAAATAATCGCACTGCTTTACCAGCAGCAACATCAGAGCCTTAATGGCTTTTTTTCATCACAAATGAAAGATCTTTTTGGCCAATAAACTGCTGCCAGTTTTCTCACCTAAACGTGTTTCTGAAAATTAAAAACCATCCAAATTTCCCTTGTTGGTTTATTTTAGAGTTTGCAATTAGGTTTTTAAACTTCTTTGATTTTTTTTTTTTGTTGATAATGGGAATTAGTTTGAATAATTATTTTTCATCTGTTGTAAAACAAATGCTCTCTTCGTTATTCCTTTGAATCCAGGAGCAGTGAAATACCTGGAAAGCTCAGTCAGTCAAATAAAAAATCTGAGGTTTTTGGGTTGGAGTATATGTACTAATCCTGAGTGGCCACTAGATGGCAGCGTTCTTTTTTTTAATTATTATTATTGCCTGAAAATAACACAAGTTCTGACTTCTACTCATTACATTTTCACACAAGTCTCTGTACTTTCTATTCCTTACATTTTTAAAACAAACATTAGTCGTAACTCTTGGCTTTGGTTTAATGTTTATAAATATTTATTTCAGGTAATGCATGCCATCCAATGCAGATCATGGTGCCATCCACATATAGTGAAAACTAGTGTAACTGGATGAGTCATATAACGCAAACACTCATTGATTAGCTAAAGGAAATTATCAGAAGCAAGCAGGTGTTCTTCAAACTGCAAACGTGAATTGTCTATGCCATGCTGCAATGTCGGAATCAGAAAAAGATGTTGAAATGTCTGAAAGGTCGGACACAGGCGAGAGCGTATCTGGAGATGGAGACCAACAAGACCTTCCTCATCCTTGGCTCTATCTCAAAGAATTTTTTGAAATAGTCGAAAAATTGAGCTTTCAATTCATATAGTGGCATCTGGCTGTTTTTTAAAAGGTTACTTTATACTTTTATACTTTAAGTAGTTTTTGGAGCACATACTTTTTCACTTTTACTTGAGTAAAGAGGTCAAGTTGATACTTCAACTTTTACCAAATTAGCTTTAATCAAATTAGCACTGCTCAGTGGAGCATTGGATAGCACTGCCGCCTTGCAGTAAGAAGGTTCGATTCCCAGCCTTGGGTCTTTCTGCATGGTGTTTGCGTGCTCTCCCTGTGCATGTGTGGGTTCTCTCCGGGTACTCTGGCTTCCTCCCACAGTCCAAAAACATGACTGTTAGGTTAATTGGCTTCTCTACATTCTCCTTAGATGTGAATGGATGTTTGTCTCTGTGATGTATTGCTACCTGTCCAGGGTGTACCCCGCCTCTCGCCCGTAGACAGCCAGAGATTGCAATGAAGGGTGACTGAAAATGCATGGAAAAATGAATGGACAGCAAAAAAAATATACAGAATCCATTGGATAAGATCCCACAGACTCCCAAATGCGTGCTATTCCTACACAGATGCTGTAGTGCATAAGAAGTGCTGTTTATAATATTCAAAGGTCAGAGCTTTTTCCAGTATTTATTTATATGAATAATCATTATCAATGCTATTATTATCATGGAACAAACAAGTTCAATCGTGAAATTATGCGGACAGCTAAATTGTAGTTCTGATAGCTATCTAGCAGATGGAGCAATTCTAAACTGTACCAAACGTATCGAGATGGTGTCGACTTTAGGTCAATTGTGTTTAATTGGTTCATGGGGCTTCGAAATTGCCATCACTAAATCAAGGCTGGCTTGATGTAGGGGAGCGGCTGAACATGATGACCTGCGAACATTCATAGCCGTGTCAGATGAACCCAAATATATAAATAACTTACATTACATACATTCACATGCCAAACTTTCAGGGTGAGAATTCTTCTCATAACTGTAAAAATTAGTAAAAAAAAAAAAATAAAATAAATGGTATCATCCTTACTTAAAGCTACAGTGTGTAATTTTCAGCGACATCTAGCGGTCAGACTACAGACCGCAGCAACATGAACATCTCCCCCCCACCGCTTCTCCCCCCCAACAGTACGGCGAGCGTTACGGGACAAAATTTCTTCTACGACGTCCACATCACCTACCCTCTCAAGTGATGAGGTTTGTTTACATAGATAATTTTACAGATAGTATTTCATTAGTCTGTGTAGGGTATAGATTTCATGTAGACTTAAGATAATAAATATACCCGTTATTTTTTCTACATCGTTGTGACGTCTTGGTGAGCTGCTTTGCATGGTGATATAAACAGACGAAGTAATTGTAGTCATTAGTTTAACAGCGAGATTGTGTTCGCTGGAAGAATATATATCCCCCGTTTACAGAGTCCAAGTCATTTTGGTGGCACGGGGGTTACAACGCGAGGGAGAGGGAGAGGACGAGGGCGAAGGCAGGGAGGCTGTGCAGCTAGGGCCAGGCGAGAGAGGGGAGCCAGCGGGGTGAGAGCAGAGGAGGAAAGGCTTGAAGATCTCCAAAGGAGCCGGAGAGAAGTAACCGAGGTATATATCCAGAAAATTATTTTACAGAAAATTACTGAATCATTACCTGTGAAACGTCAGGGACGTTGCTGAATAAGTATACTGGAGAGTAACAGCATCATCACGCAGCATGTTATTGTTTTAGACAGGTCTGAGCATCCTGTACTCCAAAAACTGCAGTGATATTAGACAATTGTGTGTGTAGGATTAATTACCTGTCCAAGAGAAAACTGGCAACTTGAGCGTCACTTTGAAAACCTTTTTCCTCCATCAGTGACTTCCATCGTGTAAATGCCGTGCCAATGTTGATCCGTGTTTTTTGCCGTTTCTTGTCACGCTTGCGTTTATTCTCGTCGTGTTTCCGCTTCTTAGATGACGGGGGTTCGGTGTCCGCCGCTTTTCGTTGTGATACAGAGTAGGCATGATCCTCCATTCGTCTGATGTTTGGCCACACAGTGCCAAACAGTTTGCAAAGTCACTCACGCCTGCCGCCTTGTTCACCTTTCTTGTTACTGAGGCGCAGTATACCTGCTTCTTCTTCTTCTTTGGTTTCAGGCAGACTAAACGCTTCTCAGGCATAATACTGCCATCTACTGTTCAGTACCGTCTCAGTTAATCTCTCTCAACTTGCCGTAGTTATTTTTGAGCGTCATGGGAGATCTCGCAATCGCTAGTTTGTTGCCTCTGCGCTTGCCGTAGCGCAAAGATGTCAGCCTCCATGGCTGCGAGACCCGCTCCTATGTAATTATAAATAACGAATTCTAAGGCAACGCAAATATTATGGTTAAAAGGCTGAGCTCATAGGTGATGATAAACAACATAGTTATGTATAATATATTAAATTTCTGACTTTATATGCCTGTAATTATTACACACTGTAGCTTTAAACTGGGTTCAACAAATTATCCATCTGCTTGTCATTTCTGCAATACTTGGTACAGGTGTAAGAAAAAAAAACATCTAGAGCAGGGGTGACCAACCTCTCTAAGGCTGAGGGCTACTTCATGGATACAGTCATAGGCAGAGCTACCAACACTGACCTATGAACTGGATGGATCAGTGTTTACCTTCACTTCATACATAAATACAGGGAAGGAAAGGAAAGAAAGGAAGGAATAGAGAATAAAAGGAAGAAAGGAAGGAATGGAGAATAAAAGGAAGAAAGGAAGGAATGGAGAATAAAAGGAAGGAATGGAGAGAAGGATAGGATGAACGGAGGAAAGGATGGAGGGAGGGAGGAATGGAAGGAGGATGGAGGAAAGGATGGAGGGAGGGAGGAATGGAAGGAGGAGGGAGGAAGGAGAGGAGGTATAGGAGGGAGGAATGGAAGGAGGAAGGGAGGAAAGGATGGAAGGAGGAAGAAATGGAAGGAGGAAAGGATAGGATAGAGGGAGGAGAGATAGGATGGATAGGATGGAGGGAGGATTGGAAGGAGGAGGAAAGGATGGAGGGAGGAAGGATAGGAGGGAGGGATGGATGGAAAAGGGGGGGAGGAAAGGAGGGAGGGAGGAATGGAAGAAGGAAAGGATGGAGGGAGGAATGGAAGAAGGAAAGGATGGAGGGAGGAAGGATAGGATGGAGGAATGGAAGAAGGAAAGGATGGAGGGAGGAAGGATAGGAGGGAGGGAGGAATGGAAGAAGGAAAGGAAGGATGGAGGAAAGAATGGAGGAAGGACGGTTCAGCATTCACCTTAACTTCATACATATTTTATTGTATCATAACTCCTAATTTTCTTTATACTGTCAATTTGCAATCTCTATAAATGCTTAAATACTCTGATGATGAAGATCTGTATGAAATGCTCTATAAATGATTTAAAAAGAAGAGCAACAGAATAAAATTAAAATGTCTATCTTAGCCCACTGGTGAGTTGTGCTGTTTTCAGAAGATGCCCCCCCTGAGGCCTCTTTGGTATCCATGGGCACCACGTTAATGACCCCTGATCAAAATAAACATTTGTGGTTCTTTTACAAAACAGTCACATTCACACATTTCTTCTTTCCCCTCATGCTTGAACGGCCCGTATTAAAACCCAACGAGTCACTTTATTTCAGCACATAGAAATAAAGATAGAGTCTGTATTTGCTCAACTGAAATGGTTTACTCAAAGAAATACAAACTGAGAGAATCTGTGTTTAAATAAATTTATAAAAAAAAGCATTTCTCCACTGAAGCAGAACAAACACCTATCACTTGTTTTTGCTCATAGAACATAGAACACAAGCTGAAAAGCTTTACTTTTGTCACCTGAAATAAAAAAAAAAAAAAAGACAAATGAACCCCAAAAAAACAAACACAGCCGACGATGACAGGGAAAAAACAAAGTGAGCAAATACAAATATGAAACGATGGAAAAAAATAATAAATTTAAGAGGTTAAGTGCAGCACAGGTCAGAATCGTACAGCGTTAGATTCAGTCGAAGTTTTTCTTCAGTTCCATATTTCAGATTATCAGCTCTGGTACTTTTTGTTTCTACATCTGTTACATGCAAGCTCAATGACACGTATGCTCAAATACACACGGGAATATACTTTTTCTTTTTTTAATTCATAGGATATCTGGAAAATATGACAAAGATCTGTTGATGTACAGCGAGAACCACGTTTCATTTGCAGAAACTGCAGAGAATCCACTCCATAGTGTTTTTTTCTTTAAAGGAAAAAAAAAGAAAAGAAACTTAACAAAAAAAGTAAGACTACATTCATGTCACCGAACAGTCCACGTACAAAAACAGCAACAAAAAGGTTCCCGGAATACCGTGTCGAGATGTTTGGATGTTCTTAAAGAGCTTCCTGCTCTGGATTATTACTAGACAGCATCTGTGCCTTGGAAAACGGACTAACACTCCATAAAGAGCCAAAGATACAACGGAATACTGCATTTCTACTCGTGACTCGGTTAGGTAGGTCGACGTGGAGGCTAGCTGCCGGAGATGGGAATGTGCACACGTCCACAAGCCTGCCTACTGATGATGTCATTTCTGGGTTAATACTTGTCCGTAATGCTACCTGGAGGAGACTCCTGTTCGTCTTTGGGGGAAGTTGCACAGATAATATTTTGTTCTGAACTTTCCTTACTTCCATCTTGGTTTCTTCTTGCTTTCTGGATCTCAAACTTAGAAGGTGGGTGGGGGTGGGGCGGGGGTGTTTCACAGTCATCAGCTACGCTTCTTTTTCACTTTCAGTTTGGTCTCTAGTTTTTGCATTGAGTTTTCTGCTATTAAATACGTGGCAGATAGGGAGGGTTTGCACAATCGTCAGTGCTATTTTTTTGGCACCTGGGGGGTGGCGACGGAGGGCGGGATGGACGGATGAAAGGATGGAGGCCCGGCAGAGCTGGGTTAGGGATCAGGAGGCTACTTGTCGTCAGCCTCTCCGGTGCTGTGTGTGGTGCCGTTGTTGCCGACGTTGTTGTTCTCCTCCTCGGTTTTCATCCTCTTCGACTCGGGCTGATCCTGCAGCTCTCCATTCTGCCTCTTGGTGGGGAGGGAGGCTGAGGCGGACGCGTGTGTTGCCAGGAGATGGAGAGGGTTTGCTGCAGAAAAAGACAAAAAAAAAAAAAGAATTTACTAAAAACTATCACTGGCTGTAGAGAGCGGCTGTTTGATACTCAGTGGACGGTTGCTGGAGCGACAGACGCAGGAAGGACGATAAACAAAAGGCTGTCTTTAGAGTCAGAGAGCAGAGACAGGCTGATTCCAGCAGAAAAGTTATGTTGATATAGTGCAGCTTTAAAATCCCTCCAAAAAACATACTTTGCAAAGCGAACATTAGCTGCTCCCAGATTTAACCCATTTACCCAAGTATATGTGTGTATGTTAATTAGACACCTGAACTAGCAGCAGTGCTGATGGGCACCAGGTGAGTCCCATTTTGCGTTATAGCCTTTATAGGAAGCTGGTGCTGGCCAAGCGGGGCTTGTTGAACGATGGTGACGGTGGTCAGAGGAGCAGCCTGGGAGCTCTGCATGATGCGGCCGACTCCACCTATAGAAGAGGCGCTGATGGACGGCACCGGCTCCACTTTGACTGCAACACAAGGAGGGAGAAGCGTGAGACGGCGGGCGCTGCCGGCGTGTTCTCTGATGAGAACGCTGCCCGTCAAGTCACCTTTGATCTCCTGGTGCTCTCCTCCTCCGTTCTCTTGAGGCTCCAGGCTCTCTGTCGAGGCAGGCTGCCCTCCGACGGTCGCCATGGTGACAGCCGGGATCTGGTGGACCAAGTGCACCGTCTGCATGACAGGGGAAGAGCTTACTGATGTTGTTACCATGGCTGTGGTTGCCATGGTGTAGGTCACAGGCTTCATGGTGGTTTGAGGCATCTGGCGCTGCACGGCGATTAGGACAGGCTGGCTGCTGAGGGGGGAGCCTGGGAGTTAGAGGGAAAACAAACTTTATTAGCAGCACAGACAATGAACGGTGAATTCGTTGGTGAAGCTGCTAGGATTTACCTGGAGAATTCTGGGTAAAGCGAGCCTCCTGGATAACAGCCAGTTTGGGTTGGACTGCCTGAGCAGGGGGGGCGGGGGGGGCCTCTGGCTCCATGGGGACTGGGGACCCTTCTCTAGATAGGCTGTCTGGGGTCTGGACCCCGCTAGAGTGGGCAGACAGCACCCCCATGTGGTTGGGAGAGGCAGGGGCGCTCCTTGAAACGCAACAACAAAAAGCAAGTAAAAATCACAGACGTGAAACATGGAGCACATAGATGAAGGTGGGTGGGGGGTAGCAGGAGATACACCGCACCTGGAGGAGAGGGGCCCCACTGGGGTCCGGAAGCAGGGCACTCCCCTGGGCCTGCGCTTTCTGAAGGCTTGCTCTATCAGCTTGCCCTCTGAGGCGGGGTCGATCCTCCAGAATGAACCTTTGCCGGGTTCTTCCTGGGACCTGGCAACTTTGATGAAGTACCGGTTCAGCGACAGGTTGTGGCGGATCGAGTTCTGGACAAAACAATACACATTCCACTGTCACTGTGACGTCATTCTGTTTCAAACAGGGACAGCGAACACAGTATAGAAACACTTCAAAAGAGGAGGGGGCTCCAAAATACCCGGTTAGAGCTCTAATGCTGGTTTACAATAAGATGATGTGGTTAGCAGATGATTAAAGACCGGCGCTCTGTCCTGTATTACATTTAGGGTCAGATTAGACTGGGTCACTGAATCCAGTTTGTTGATATGATTTAAAGCAGTGAAAAACATGGCTGAAAAGCAGAAACACTGATGTTTCTAACATTTTCCATATTGACAATAATGCTGCTGTCCTTTAACATTTTGAGCGCTGAAAATTAAATTAGTGCAGTTCTGCTTCAGCTCTATATGCTGAAGGGAAATTTTGTTTCATTCCCCTGCTCTGGTTCAGGGCCACATAAAACTATTCCTGGGGCAACAAACAGTCCCCAGGTAGCCCCCTGGTGTCTTTACAAAGTTGTTTCCAAAGAACATATTAACGTCTTTTAAATCCCTCCTGTTCTGGAGGGATTTTTCTTTATATTTAGCACAAAAAGCTCTATAAATCACTCTAGTCAGCAGATAAGACAGTTTTGAAAATACTGAACAGAACTATGGCTCACATCGTCTAGGTAGGAATGGGATCTAGACCTGCGTCTAATGATAACACGATGAAACACACAAAAGGTTCTGGACAGCCTTTTAGCTGGCAATGCGTTCCGCTGTAGTTTACAAAAAATATGACAAATTGTACGCCCTGTTTTTTTCCAGGAAACTTTGCTCAAATGCTGGAAAAATTTAACTTTTGCTGCTTGACACGCCACATCAACCAATCAGAGAAGCCGATCTGGGAGCTGGCAGGGAGAGAGACCGGCTTGTTTTGTTTGTATGACCGCCACGATTCGTGTAGATAGACCAGCTAGAAGAGGGACATGTGTGTGAGAACGCTGGGACCCTTTTTCCACCTGGATCCCCGCTCTTTTTCGCCCTCATGTCCCTCCGTTGTCGCATAAACTTGCCTCCACTTCCTCACCACCTCGGCCGTATCTAAACCCACAGCTAGTTTGTGATTGGCCCTCTTGCGTTGTGGCGTGAAATAACATAGCGCAGACCATGCTTCAAAATTGTGCAGAAAAATATCTGCTTCATACCTCCAACAAGCTCACTGCGACACACTGCTGCGGGAGTATAACCAGCCCTTGAGGAGGCTGCTGCTGGGGATTCCCAGTGACAGTAAACCACCGGTATGTGGGGGTCTGAGCTGCTCTGACAGCGAAATAATATTTTAAGGCAGGATTGTAATCTTGATGAACTGAATACACAGACGATGTTTTTAGGTGGACTTTTCTTGCATAAAATATATTAAAACTGCTCTTTACCCACTGATCACAGCAAATATAGTAAAGCCGCTCTCTGCCATTAAACATAGAAGTAGCAATCTGGACACACTTTACTGGACGCGCTTCAGCAGCATCAAAGATGCTCTTAAGGCGCGTCTTACCTTAATGTGTACAAGCTTAAAAAATGAAGAAGCAGATGCTTTTTTGCTGCTCAAATCGTGCTGTGAACGTAGCATTAAACTATCTGATAGGTTTGAATTAACCTATAAAACTTAAAATTGAGCCTTAGAATGATCTCGTATCATCCACATGAAATTTTGACCTCTAGCCAAAACACATACTTCCCATAATCAGGAGGAAAGTAGTGGTGGAATAAAGACAGAAACTTAACTGCATTCCACCTCAAAATGCAGGAAAAAAGCATTTCAGAGAATCTAAATTATAACATTTTCCAGGGAAGAATATGCGGAGAAGAAACTACAAAACAGAAAGAAAGGCTCAACTACTTCATTCTTTGTTAAAAAGCAAAGATTTGGACTCATTTTGTTTTAAAATGAGCTCACAGATCAATTTTTACTAAACAATGGAGCACCTCAAATATGCAGGCTGACATTATGGGGATTTAACTGGAGTTAAAGGACACAGCAGAGTTAGCTGCCAGCAGGAGACCAGCTCACCCTGGTAGCGGTTCACCAAACTCTGTCAATTACAAGCAGGCAAACAAAACAACAACAACCCAGGAGTCTCACCTGCTTCATAACCAAAGACCTAAGGCCTTAGAGTGTGATGGATAACATGGGTTTCATCTGCATGTTGCAGACGATGGAGCCAAGTTTTGCCACACCATCCTGTTAGTCTTTAACTGAGACAGCTGACTAGGCCTGGGCAAATATAATTGCAATATAATTACAATTTAAGAAATTGCAATTTCAAAATCGCAGAGGTGCTCAATTTTGGTCAAGTTACATTTAACAGGACTAAGAGACACATTTTTTTCTCTCGCTCCAGCACTTTGTGGTGTCCATATGTTTAAAGTTAATTTGCTGCCACAAAAAAAGCAAAGAGAAACGTCTAGCTAGCACTCTGATCTAAGCTAGCAGGTAAAGTTAGCACTTTTCCAAACAAAGGTTACAATAAGGATCTGCATTATCGCACTATAGACAAGCAAGCTTTAAAGGTCATTAAAAACTGAAACCCTGGAGTGAAACATCTACATGTTTATGAGGACTGCAAAAGGAAATCAGGGAAAAAAAACAAAAACTATCGCAAATAATAAAAAATAATCGCAATTTAGATTTGTGGCTAAATGGTTCAGCCCTACAGCTGACCCAGTGCTTTAATCAAGAGACTCAAAAAAAGGTTGCGTACCTTCACCTAAATGACCACATGGTTCTAGCATGAAAAACATAGGCATAGAGATCAACCCAGTCTTCAGTGACTCACTCTATAACAAATACCTGGCTGCTGGAATCTAGTTTTTTGTAAACTCTTATGATGCAAGAAGCCACATGGTTCTAAAGGTCAACATCATGTTGCAGTCTGTCTTTGAAAATAGGAGCCGACTGTCACAGATCTGGTGATTGTGACTCATAACACCAACATGCTTGCCGCTACAGACTGACAACTTGGCACTGAACCGACTCAGAATTGAATCATGGCTCTAAATAATATTCCCACCTCCGATAAATATATTAGCTTCACCAGCATCCTTCTTCAGGGTGGAAGGAATGCTAGCACTGTGAAGCGGCTCCGGCCTCTATCTGTTGAATAAGGGGGGCTAAAGATTAGGGTGATGGAAAGCAGCCCTTCCAACCTTAAAGAAACAGAGCTAATTGCTAAACATAAACTATCCAAAAAACCAAAGATGCATACGGTGAAATACAACAAGCCCAAAGTATTACAATCATTGCACAGTCAGGTGAGTTTTGCTCTAACTGATGAGCCTCCCACAGACCCCGTAGAACCACTGACCTGCCAGCCTTTATCAGCCGTTCTGTAGTAGGGGTAGTTCTTGGTGATGTGGGTGTATATTCCATTCAGTGTTAACTGTTTATCTGGAGCCATGGTGATAGCTTGGACTATTAGCTGTGCATAGGAGTACGGAGGTTTGGAGTCATCCTGTGGAAACAACAAAAGAAATAAAAAAAGTGAGTTTGTGGAGGAAAGTTTCTTTCTTAGGCCTGAACAATAATGCTTAAAACAACATTATCCTATACAGACTAACAAACAGAAAACAAGCAGAGTCATAATGCCTTTCTTTTTATGAATCACAAAAGCAAAATCCCAGAGGATCTGGGTGGAAAAACTAAGTCCGTGATTCCACGTTTCTCCAGTTTATGGATTTGTTAAAAACTTAACAGCAAAGCTTTTCAAACGCTGTTTTCTCCTTGACTTTATCAGTCTCTCGCCTCACAGTGGAGGAGTTTTCACCCATTCCTCTTAAGAATGTGCGTTCAGCTCACATTGAGGTTCACAGCCTTTCAGACACAGGTCTGATGCAGTCAAAGCCCAGATTATTTTGTCCCCCAGAGCAATAGAGTAGTTTGCTTTGCAGTTGGGCTGCTACTAACAATTATTTTGCAAAAACCGATTAATCTGTTGATTATTTTCTTGATTAATCGATTAATAATCGGATAGCAAAAGGTTCCTTGCAGACTTTTTGCAAAATCTGGATAGAGCATATTGACAGATGAAAGATTAGTCTGTATACTTGTTAACTATACAGCTAATGATTAATCGATTACTAAATTAGTTGAAAAGTATTTAAATAATTGATTAATCACAATTAATCTGATTTATTGTTTCAGCCCTACTTTACAGAACTGTGGGGTTGTCCTTTCATGAACTTGGCGAGCTAACCTGCTAGCTGAGGCTAACCTAGCGATTACGTCTGAAATGACAACCTTTAATGTTATAAACTTGTGATTCATTTTTCTAACAACGATGATATGCTTCAAGTTGTAATGAATTCATCCTGACTTGTAATGTTAATCTAATTCCAAGTGATCAGTAATCGATTAATCGTTAGCTGTATAACCGTTTCTTTAAATAGCCTTTAAACACTGAGTGATCTCCTCAAATCTGCAGAATCCTCTTATAAAATGAGGGGTTTGTTATTTTTCTGACCATGACTGCACGAACAACGTGCCTTTTAAGAGAGAAAAAGTTCTGGTTTCTATCAGAATCAGCTTCTGTTCAACTAGAAAACAAATAAAGCTGCTGGTCGTGCTTCACTTCTCTCAGCACCATGTTCTCTCACCTTTGGGCTGTCTTCACCTGAGGCCTCCTTATCGTTTTCTGATTGCGAGTTGTCTCCTATGATTTCTGAGGTGAGAACGCGACTCGTTCTGTAGCTGGAGAGTCCCGCCCCCCTGGGACTTGATGGACACGAGTTTGCAGCGCTAAACAAAACAAAAATAGATCCAAATTAAGCGTTCATATTTGGACTCATCGCTGTGATGGCGACACAAACGACTAAACAAGGCTCCTACCTGATGGTGCCGGTGGGCGAGGGCAGAGGGCTCATGAGGTGGGCAATGTTGTCAGGAATGTTGATGGTTAGCGGCGAAATTTGGGGCTGGACGGGTTTGACCGGTGATTCCGGCACGTTCCTTGGCTCCTTCTTGTCATTTGACAGGGCTGTGAAAGTGATCTTTATACTTGTGCTGGGGAAGCGGAAACAACACCTGCAAAAGAACGTGAAAGAAGGGGGTGTGACGGCGGCAAAAATCAAGCTGTGAAACGACACCAGGGGTGAAGTCGCTGTGTTCCACCCAGGCCTTCTGCCAGGCAACAAGCAAGCTGGGGGGCTCCAAATGAAGCCCAGAGAGGAGCAGAGAGACAGCTTCACAACAATCTAAAACGGGCATACACCAACACCATTATATAACAGATCCGTCTTAAAGCGTCCAACTTTCTATTAATGTGCTTGGCTATATTTAAAACGTATGTAGCTCAAACGAAAATAAGAAAAAACTCGTTACGGGTTAAGAAAAAACAAACAGAGAAAAACTAAGAAAACTGAAAAAGAGGAACACGACTAAACCTCTGGGTATGTTGTTAAGAATGTCTACGTCATCATTACTTCTACTTTAGAGTCTGGATGAAATTAAAAATCTTGCCTTTACTCAGTTCTAAACATTTCCTTTTGGTTTGTGGAAATCGTTTTTGCACAAACATACCATGAATCTAACTCAGCATTTCAATGAGACTGAGGTCTGGATATGGAATTCTTAATTTCATAGAAGGCACAAATATACTTGTTCAGTCCTTTCCCAATTATGAATGAAGAAATTAATAATAAATAGGATAACCAAGGTTTATGCAGTTAGATTTTACTGCATTGTTTCACCAAGGGGAAAACTCTTCAGCAGGTCTATTTCTGGGATGACAAGGACTTTACTAACCTGAACTCGATTAGTGCATAAGTATGTATCAGAAGACTAAGGAGTCTTTCTCTAGCTGTTACTGGGAGATATAGTTGGGGTAACATTTCAGCTGACTCTCATCCAAGGTGCTTCCAGGTTTACAAACAGCCTCGACTTTGAGACTTTCTACTACTGGTTTTCATTCATTCTGCATCAAGACACAGATATGTAACTCAGCTTTCTGCTTTTAAGGACATTAGCCAATATTTCTATGTATTGCTATCCTATGTCAGTGGTCAATGCTTTGTAAAAATAAAACAGTTTGCTTGATTAAATTGGGTGACTGATGTATTGATAATCCTCTAGAATATTTGTCTCCCAATTATTAGGAAGCAACTTTATCACACATGAAATGGGTGCTGTTAGCCATAGGAAATGGTTAAAAGGTCATACTTGGGGAAGATATTCCTCTTTTTTTCATTCTTTAAACATAAGTTTGGCCCAATGGCTAAGGCTAATGGCTAATCTGAGATGGGCCAAGATCAGCTGGATTAAAACAACTCAAATCTCAAAAAAGCTCAAGTTGTTTATGCAAGAGCTGTACAGTGAAGCCTTTGTTAAAATGTTGCCTAGCAGCACAAAGCTGTTGTGTGAATCCCAACTGGGTGCTGTTTGTATGTTCTTCTTGTGAACATGTGGGTTCTCTCTAAGTACTCCTCCTATACTCCAAGGACATAAAGGTTTGACTAATTGGCCTCCAGAAGAGCTAGTAGGTTTAACGTGGAGCGTGCATGGATGTTGTTGTCTTTGGAGCCCTCCTGCTTAGAGAAAATGTATGGATGAAAGGGTGCATGTGACTCCTTTTTAAAATTTTATTCAGTATAGCTTTCACAAAAAAGCTACAGTTTTTGTGGATTTAAGCATAAAGTGTAGAGAGGGGTCATGACCATGCTAGGGCAAACTATTAGCCCACATCATGTATTGCAGAGAACAGGTCCTCGCCTCCAAAACTACTGAATTTTTCCACTTCAACATATAAATTTACACTCTAGATTTAGTTTGTTTGCACAAAGCTTTTCTATTTAAGCTTTGTTTAATTCAGAAATATGTTATGAAATCTGCTGTATGGATTTCCAGACTTTAGGATATATTTTATGAACTTTGGATTCAGGTAAACAACCCTTGTTTTTACATTTTTTGATGCATAAAGGAAAACAAAAAAAAACTTCTAAGACTATTCAAAATAAGACCTATTACCTAATTTCTTTTTGAGGTAATTGTACCCAAACAAGAATAACACTTACTTTAGTAAAAAAAAAAAAACTATTGATGGTAGCAACACAGTGAGTTTTAAAAGGACTTTACTTTAACAGAGCCTTCTTTAATTTTACGTATTTTTATTTTATTTCACCAAGGTGTTTATAAAGGTGTGGTATAAATATTAAAGGCAGTAACTCTTGAATGTGGCACATGTAAAACAGCGGAAGTGGGGAAATAAAATCAGCTAATGTCCCCTCTACCTCCCAAGCTAGCTGCCACATGTTAAAAAATACCACAAATAACCTCAGGAACATGTTTTATGACAACATAAAACAATAAGGAAACGTTATCAACACGGGTAGAATGTTTTTGGGGTAATATTTAGTGGGGAAAGCAGTAATATTGTCACATTAGCATGTCTGACATGGAGATTTCATGTGACGTAGCTGCTGTACACACGAACAGCACGTAACAAGCTAAACACAGCACGTGCGTCAACGCTGCAGGCTAACAACAATAACAATACACACCTATATATATATATATATAAAAAAAAATAAAAAAAAACACGAGTGGGTTAATTGGTGGGAATCATTTCACACAACTCGCCCTCTAGACTTACATTCGTGGAAGCTGAAGAGGAGGAGCCCCTCTTCTCTGGAACACCCCATCAACAAACACCCCGTTTTTTCCGAGGCATCGGAGGTAGAACTCCCTCGTGCCTGAGCCATCCTCCCCGGCCGTGAAGATTTCGAGGTGCCGCCGGGATATGAAGCTCGAGTGGCCCATGCTGACGTCCACTGAGCCCTGGGAAGAGTTCCGGCCGATGGTCACCGACCTTTTCTTCATCAGATACTCGAACTCTCGGCCCTCCAGCCGGGCTATAGCCGACCCCAACATCCCGCTTACCACCGCCATCTTCCAGTCCGAGGTGTCTGGTGCAGATTTTTAGGTGTCTACAGAGCGGGGATTAAGTGGCAAATATGATAAATTAAAGGGGTTCGTTTTAGGGCCTGGTTAAATTAGAGGGGGGGCCAATTTTACACTGTAGAAGATTTAGCCAGGAACGTGCCAGACCGGGGACACAACCAAACCGCTTAGACACACCACGATGAGGAGGAAGGCGGGGTCAGAACGACGGGAGGACCAATCAATAGCCGACAAACGGGCGGAAGTCGTGCGAGAGACAATTAATTCCGCCAATAAGAAGGTGGCTTAGGCACGCAGATGAGTGATGTTTACCAATGACAACAACAATAAAAATAGCCATGTTAGGTCGGTTGCAGTGCAACCTGACACGCAGATGGAGGAAAGGTGCAAAACCCGGAGATCAAAAGAAAAGAGATCAAGGCATATATATATATATATATATATATATATATATATATATATATATATATATATATATATATATATATATATATATATATATATACATATAATATGCGCATATATATAAACACAAACATATATACATACACACACCCATACTCTTTCTGCCATCATAGTGAGGACCATGTGTTGACTCCCATTGACTTCCATTGATTTTCAGTCATTTTCAACCCTTTCTATGCCCTAACCCTAAAATTAACCCTAAACCTAACCATTATGCATACCTAACCCTAGCCCTAACCAATTTACACCTTAGCCCTAAAACTAACCATTAGCAAAATAGCATGTGAGAACCAAAGAAAAGTCCTCACTTTGCAACAGCTGGTCCTCAATTTGATGGTGAAATTGGAAAAATGGTCCTCACTCTGAAGGCTAGACAGGTACGTACGTACGTTCATACAGTCATACAGAGAGGAAAATAAGTATTTGAAATCATGGGGGGACTGAACTTGTCATCACAGGTGCATGTTCACTTTGTCCAGAAATCACAATGTATGATTGTTTAACTACTTATCTGTATTTGAACACCTGATATAAATCTATGTTAATATTTGGTACAGCAGCCAGAGGTCAACGTTTCCTGTAGTTTTCCAGGTTTGCACGCAATGCAGGAGGGATTTTGGCCCACTCCTCCTCACAGATCTTCTCTTGACCAGTCAGGTTTCTGGGCTGTCGCTGAGAAACACAGAGTTTGAGCTCCCTCCAAAGATTCTCTATTGGGTTTAGATCTGGGCTAGGCCAAGCAATGAGCTTGATATGCTTCTTTCAGAGCCTCTCCCTGGTTATCCTGGGCGTTTGCTTTGGCTCATTGTCATGTTGGAAGACCCAGCCTCGACCCATCTTTAATGCTCTAACGGAGGGAAGGAAGTCGTTCCCCAAAATTGCAATGCATTTCATGCTCTCCTTAATAGAATGCAGTTGCCCTGTCCCATGTGCAAAAGAAAACACCCACGAAGCATGATGCTACCACCCTAATTCTTCCCAGTGGGGATGGTGTTCTTGGGCTGGTACTCATCATTCTTCTTCCTCTAAACACGGTTAGTGGAATTATGACCAAAATGTTCTATTGGCTTTCTCCCATGACTCCTCTGGATCATCCAAATGCTCATTGGCAAACATATGATGGGCCTTTACATGTGCTGGTTTAAGCAGGGGAACCGTCCATGCCATTCCTCATTTCAAACCATGACGTCTTAATGTATTACTGACAGTAACCTTGGAAACAGTGGTCCCAGGTCTTTTCAGGTAAGTGACCAGCTCCTCCTGCGCAGTTCTGGACATTTTTTCACCAAGCTGCTTAGCCCTTTCCAGCCTGGTGGAGGTGAACTATTTTGTCTCTAGTGTCTTTGAACAACTCTTTGGTCTTGGCGATGTTAGTAGCTGGATTCCAACTGATTTTATGGGGTGGACAGGTGTCTTTATACAGCTAACGACCTCAAACTGGTGTATCTAATTTAGGATAATAAATGGAGTCGTGGTGGACATTTGAGGGCCGACCAACAGGTCTTTGAGGATCAGAATTCTAGCTGATAGACAGGTGTTTAAATACTTATTTGCAGCTGTATCATACAAATAAATTGTAAAAAAAAAAAAAAAAAAAAGATATATTGTGGTTTCTGATTTTCTTTTTAGATCATGTTTCTCACAGTGGATATGCTCCTACCAGGACAATTTCAGACCCATCCATGATTTATATATATATATAAAACTCAATCCAAATATACAGCATTAACAAATGTTGAAATGCATAAAACAAGTCGCTGCAACGGGTGAACATGGCTGTTGTGAAGCTCTCTGAAATAATAAAATCCAGAAACCAAGAGTTTAGCACAAGATAAATGTTCTGACTGAATGATCACTTTTCCCTCACGACTCATGAGGAAAACCTCCTCGCTGTCTGGCCACTGTCAGTCAGAAATCCTTAAGTATGTTTTCCATCAGCATCGAGCAGGCAGCTTCCAGACCCGCCCCTGTTACACAGACCCTCTGGCTGTATTTGATTTCGGCATCTGGACCCAGCCTACTTGGATTGGATCCTTCAAGGGCTGTGAAAATAAAGAAGTGAGACGAATTGGGCTAAAGATTTAAACTGCCCTTCACTCAGTGTACTCTCTGTCACCTTGCAACTGTGACAGTTGGCTCACAAAGCAGACAAAGAATGGATGCCAAACTTCTCACTACTGTTCTGTGGACTAATTTAATATTTTTAAGAAGCTTCCTGGAGCAGTACTGTTGTCATTGATATCAGATTTCTAGTTCCCACACTGCAGAGATCTTAGAATCTCATTTGCACAGGGATAAAACCTTTCAATGAACCCAAAATATTCCTGCGACATATCTGACTCACTAATCATTTAAATGAACTATTTCCATTAATTTAAGAAGAAATCATTCACAATCTTCTATTTTATTAAACTGCACTTACAATATTCAGCACTGTTTGTCGCCATTTCCCTTTTACTTGCATAGCTTGCATGGACTCGCAATGAATCATGGGATACCCAAGGCCATATAGGATACGCTGGACCTGTCGTTCCTCCAGGAGGAAAATAAGGCTGCATTTTTCAGCTGCATAGAAGGAGTCTTTGAACCCCAAAGAGACCAAGGCGCTGCGCTATGATGTAATTGACGGACAAATCTGGCCATCAGTGGATGCAGCCAATGCAAATGAACACAGCCTAAGAGGTTTAGCCTTACTGGAAGTGACATATTTTGGCGTGTTATCCAATCAAGGCTCTTCTTTCTGGCTGCTTACCTCAACACACAGAGGCCCAAACCTCAATAGTGATTTCTAATGGAGGCTGACAGCCAGCGTACTGCTACTTCCGAGAGGTGGGCTCAACAGCTGATTAATGTGCAACATTGTTATGAAATTTGGCACATTTGAGCAAATATTTGATGCAGGTCAATGACGACATTTAAAAAGTCAACAAATTTTACGAAATTTACAGGGGTGGTTTAGCCTTCCTAGTATTCAATGAGAAATCACCACTGCCTAACACATACCCTCATAGGAACCCAATTATCATATCCCCACTTGGATCTAACCTAAACTTGATTCACACACTTGTATCCTTAACTTAACCCCCAACCAGAGATGGCAAAAGTACTCACTTTCCGTACTTGAGTAAAAGTACAGATACTTGTGTTAAAAAATACTCTGGTAAAAGTGGAAGTACTGATTAAACTTCTTTACTCAAGTAAAAGTAACAAAGTACAGGCTTGTAAATTTACTTAAAGTATAAAAGTAAAAGTAGAAACCACTTTTTTCATGCCGTTACCTACATTTTAAATGGATGTCTGCCAATAGGACTAGATCTTCGTTGTGTTCATTTTCAATCATCTCGTCGTCCATACTACTATGCTAACGCCACCGCCACCAAGCTGCAATGATTTGCCGCAAATGAATACTGCCGAATCTGTCGACTCATCTTGTAGTGGTGCGTCAAATGCAACGTAGATTCCCATCCAATTAGATTGAATTTGGTATTGATGACGTGAAAAATAATAACAGTAACTCCATTGAAATGATTCAAAACTAAAGTAACGAGCCAATTTTTTAAAATGTAAGGAGTAGAAAGTACAAATATTTGTGTAAAAATGTAAGGAGTAGAAGTAAAAAGTCACCATAAAAATAGGTAGTAAAGTAAAGTAAAAATATCAGAAAAATCTACTTGAGTACAGTAACAAAGTATTTGTACTTCGTTACTTCCCATCTCTGCCCCCAACCCAATAAGAGAACAATTTTCCTCATTCTGGGGACCTCTTACCTGGTCCCAACAAGTACCTGTAAGTCCCCAAAAAGTAGCATATTCCTTTGATGTTGGCCTTACAATGTCACTATAAGGTAACAAATACTTTACTCAACATACGCACACAAACATGTAAATACACATCCCACATCTATTTTATTTGATAGATAAAATGTTATAAATAATCAACATTGCTATGCATTGGTAGCGAGCTTCGTTATTATGTATTCCACTTTTATGGTTTCAACATGACATGTTTTTCTTTTTAATTACATTCGTTCTCACAATGCCTTTTGTATCTTTGCTTCTTTTTCTATGTCTGCTTCTGTCTCCTTGAACCCCAGTCAGCCTCAGCAGATGGCCGCTCACCCTGCGCCTCGTTCTGCTGGAAGTTTCTTCCCGTTAAAAGGGAGTTTTCCTCTCCACAGTCGCTACAAGCATGCTTGGTGTGAGGGATTGCTTTCGAGTCAACGAGTCGATGCAATCAACTGGTTTTCCTTAGATAGAAATGTTTGAATCAATTTGACTGTATGATCTGGTTGAATTGTCTCTGTAGAGTGCATTGAGATGACATGATGTGAATTGGTCCTATATACATAAACTGAATTGAATGGGTGAGGAAAAGTTACCTTTAGTTGCAGGCAGGCTCGAACAGGTAATCTGTTATACTAGGCATTTGCCCGGTGGGCCGGTCCTAATTGCAGTGTGCGAGGGCCGGCCCGCCTTAATTCATACCGGCCCCAACACTCACTGTCCGGCCGAAGCACCTACCTGTGACTGTCAATAACTCAAATAACCGGTCCATAAGTGGGACGGTGTAGATAGAAAAATGCCGGGGCCAAAAATGATTCCCAGTCTGAGCCTGGTTGCAGGACTAACACTTTATTGATGGTTGTTTATACAGAAAAAATATTCTTGAGCGAGATATTTCAATGATTTTCAGACTGAAATGTTTATTGTAGAGATGACCAGCAAATACAACAATCC